ATTTAAAGATTTGCTTTTTTTCCCATTCAGATATTTGAGAAGGAGAACCAATAAAGCCGGAAAGCAGCTTTCTATAAACACAAGCACTTACATAAATATTGATTTATTGTTTTTATAAGAAATGTATAAGCAAACAGATGCTTCACTCCAGTAAAGCAAATAAGACATAAAGTTGAAATATTATTTTCCCCATATAAAGGTATATGAGCCAAAGACAGCAATGGACATTGTGGGTTTTTGTCTGCTTAAAGGGAGAATTTTATCAATACTTCAGTGTTTATTGGGTTAGGTTTTTAATGGCTATATATTTTAAAATTCCATTACAATTTTTTATATAACAGCATGTTTGTGTCAAATCACATATGTTTAGAGCATTTGAACTACTTATTCTGACATTAGTTTGAAAATAATTGGAAATGTTTTCAAATGTAAAAGCTTATGAAAATCCTGGGAAATTATGTCACTGTAGTGCCAGATGACTGGGTCTGGAAAAAAGTTTCCTTCCAGAAGAAACAGTTTTAGTATAAAGGAAGTTTCAGTTATTTTCTAAGTTTCATCTATGATTTAATGGGACAACTTTCTGAACGTGGTCCCAGAGAACTGCTTCCTGACACCTTCTTCAATCCTAATTTTAAGAATGTGTTGCCAGTTTACAATCAACAAATGCTGTTACAGTTATTTTAAACAGAGCACATCTGATTGTTCAAAATTAAATACAACTCATGTCTTTTTGTAATAGGGCTTAGCTGGACCAGAAGGTAACCCAGGTCCTAAAGGTGTAAGAGTAAGTAAGCATTTTAAGCATTTTGGCATGCGTGTCTATTTTTACACATACAGTGTATAAGGAAGAGGATGAGGAATTTCATTCAGCTCTTTCAATTGTCTGTCTGCTGAACCACTCTGTCTTTACAGAATCTACAAATGAGAAAACATAGTTTCTTTCAAAACACATGTAATTATTGAATTTCTCTTTTCCATTGTTGCCTTTCCTCTCACTTGGAATGCATGCAGACAAGAGAAGCAATAATGAATGTGGGGATGTGAGAGCTGGGAGTGAACAAGAGTGGATGTTTCCTGCCTGAAGCATTATTTCCATAAGGGAAGCTGTCAAGAAGGGAGACATATCTGGCATTTGCATTCTATAACTGCTATAGAAGTTGATAAAGGGAAACTGTCTTGTCACATAAAAACCACAGAAGTGATCTTGAGATTTAGAATTACTCAGTTTTAGTAATGTATACCATGGGACCAAGGGCTCTTAATGCTGATTCAAGGTTTGCTTTTGATTTTTCTTGAAGGTAAAACAGGTTGGCCTTTTTGGCTTGTTGGGTTTTTTGTTTGTGTGTTTTCTGGTTTGTGGTTAGTTGTTTGGGTTTTTTTGTGTTGTTTTTGTTTTGTGTGTGTGTGGTTTTTTTGTGCTTTTTTTTTGTTTTGTTTTGTTTGGTTTGGTTTGATTTTGGGGGTTTTGGCTGGTTGTTTTTTGTTTTTTGTTCAGACTAACTCTCACTATCAGGCAGTAGTCAAGGGTTTCCAGGAACTTGCATGTTTCTGTTTGCACCTAAGTTTTGAAGGAACCCTTTTCTGGGTGTTTTCAGTTCCTCAGCTCATGTTGTACAGGGTTGCTGAGCACTGTGCTGTGTTCTCAGGTATCTATTAAAATAATCTTATTGTGTTGCTATATTTGCCCTTGTCCTGTTTTTTTAATGTAGTTACCGAAAGTCTTTACTTGCAGCAGCTACTTAAACATATATCTGATTTTTTTGGGGGGTGGGTTTTTAAGATGTCAGCTTTTATTACAGTTGGAGGAAAAATTAGTTTTTCAGGATCAAGTGCCAACAGATATTGCACCCTCAGGGATTGTATCTCTTACATTTCTTAATTTTATTTTTGCTCAGATTCTCAATGCGTTTTGTCTGGTTCTCCCCTCAACCAACAAGACATTAAGTGATCCCAGTCACTTCCTGAAAAGTTAGTACTTCTCTGTTTACACAAAGCTAAAATGCCCAAAGTATGCATAATTTTAGGGAAAAACACCTGTCAGATCTTAAGGCTGTCTCCTGTATATGACTTATTCCTTTATTATTCAAATAAAAAGGACGGTGCCCTGCTGAGGCACATTGCTGTGAGTGGGGATCTACAGCAACAGGATACAAAGTATCTTTAGCATTGTATGTTAGAACATTCCTACCATCAAACCATACTCTTGCTTCTCAGCTGTTTCAGGAAACTAGAAAAGTAGTTTTTTTTTCCTTACTCTCATTAGGACTGGATGACAAAATGGGCTCTATTATTTCTTTTTTTAAAAAAAAGGTGAGCCAGCCCCTCAGATTGTTAAAATTGGAGGACTGAAGAGAGGGAGAGGTGAAAACAAGGAGTGCTTTTTTAGTAACTAATAATATTTTTGTGTCAGTCTGTTTGAATCTGGTAGTGAAGAATCCATCACTGCTACTGCTTTTGTAAATTGATCCATCATTTCTGCTGAGCCAACAGCATGTTTCTGTGTTCATGCAACTGATTTTATGTGCAGATCTGTTTCTGACTGAGGGGAAGGTGGAAGAGAAATGCATTGTGACTGAGCTTTAAGAAAAATATGTTCTGCTTAGGACAAAGTAAACATTCTAGGACTCTTGCATGTAGCAGTGATCACCCAGTATTATTAAAGATGAGAACACATTTTCTGGTGTACGTCATGAATAAGGTTAACTTCAGCAGCTATTTAATTTATTCTAACAAATAAGGTCTCTGATGCAACATTGTCTTATTGGAGCACTTTATTAATACTTCTTTATTAATTGATTCTGTACCCTTATACTAAGAAATTGGTTTTCCTATGGATTGGAGCGTAAATCCTAGTGACATTTAAGTTGGTTGAGCTTCAATGGTAATTTCAAATAAGCCTGAATTTAATCCTTGGATCTTGAACCCCCAGCTGGCAAATTCTGAAGAACAAACAGTGTTGGTGGGAAGCAGCCTTGTAATCAAGAATTGTTCTTATGTTTTTAGGGTTTCATTGGACCTCCAGGTGTGGCAGGACAACCAGGACCTGAAGGAGAAAGGGTAGGTTTAATGGAACTTTAATGAAATACTGATGGTTGGGTGATAACAGAATATATATTAAAATGGGAAAAAATGTATAAGATGTAACCATTAATTGGAGTCTTTGTCTAAAAGCAAAACTGATGTGGAGGAAACAAAATATATCTAATTACTCTAATCAATGAAGTACATTGGTGCTAAAGTTAAATGCAGAGAAGCTTTAAATTATTGTTTTAATTTAATCTAGAGCTGCAAGGGTTAGGGGTATTTTTTTCTTACCACTGAGGTCCATAATGGCTATTTTTCATTGAAGCAATTTCATTTGGTCAGTAATTAATGTTTGTCAATTGTCAGATGATATTTGCAATAAAACCAGTCATCGAAATCTTCATCTCTGTCACTCTGTGCTTGAGCTTTCTCATGCTTCTCTTGAGCACAAAGGATTTCTGGACATGTGCTTAGGTGGCAGTAGGATGTGGCTGCTTCATAGTTTTTCTCACGTGACCACAGTAAAGACATGCATATTTTGTGTTCCAACCCCTCGTTATAGGTCACTATCTCTATGATTCTTTGCTCAACTTTTTTTTTTTTTTTTTTTTTTTTAAATGGTGCTGCTTCTCACACTGTCTTTTCCAATCAAATGCAGGTTTAATTATTCACATTTAAACTACTGAGGAAAAGAAAATCTACTTATTGGTTATTTCTTTCTCAGGGCATCCCAGGCTTCCATGGAAAAAGAGGTCCTAAAGGGAGACAGGTAAAGCTTTTAACACTTGTTAAAATTTCTGCTACCCATATAAATACACCTGTAATTCACTCTGCAACTTTGATCAACTTAAAAATGTTATTTTACTTTTTTCCTTTAGCTTTCTATTGTTTCCAATTAGTACTTTGCAGTACTGTGAGTTCTGTGCAGGTTATAACTAATAATAGCTGTTCTGAAGCTCAGAAGACTTAACATGATGAGGCTTGTGGTTGGTTACTGGTATTGACCACCTGAGGGTTAAAAGATGACAGAAACACATACATGTATTCTGTAAAATCAGTGTTAGCAGAAGGTAGAGGCATGATGCAAGTTTCATAAGTGATTTTGGTGTTGGTCTGAATGGTCTGATATTTCTGGACTATAGTAAATTAAAGCTGTGCTTTACTTAACATATATTTCTACATCTGAGAATAAACACCAATCTGCCAAGTATACATTATAAAGGTTTACATATTTCCTGTGGTGTATCTTCAATGCCAAGTGTTTTGTTTTCTGCTGCAACCTTATTATTTTAGGTCTTTGAAGTTATCCAGGAGTTTCCAATTTTAAATTGCTTGTGGTTTGAGATTGGACACTGCGATAGCATTCTCTAGTTGTGCACTCAGTTGCACTCAGCGGTTAGATGACTTTCATCTAGCATGTTGAACAAGCTTGTTTAGCTATAATAGTGTGATTACCATCATTTGGCCCTTGATGTATGCTATGAAAGCTGTGGAGGATTCTGTTTAATTATGTTTTGTCTTCTGCATGATCTAACACCAGCCAAAAAAGGCACTAGCCTTCAATAGAGTTTCTTTTGATCTGAAGAATGACAAGCAGAGAAAACTGGCATTAAGTTTATAAACTGCTCTTTCTGAAGCTGCTATCAAATGGTTGAGATATGAATTCAAATAATCTGTTTTTTAATTATTCAGCTAGCAAGACACAGTGCTCCTGTGCTGGGTGACCATCCTGTAGTTTGCTTATGATTTGAATTGAAGGTTACTTTGTGCATCTGAGTATTGGGCAAGACTGGGTCTGTGGCATCAGTACCTTGCAGTAGTTGGCAGTGTGTTGTGCTCGTGAATCACATGCAGCATTTAAGAAGGACAACCTGGAAAGCAAAGGTGTGTGCTCAGTGTGGGAAAGGAAAAAGAGGTGACAGCAGGGTATTCTGAAAACAGATTTTGCATTATAATCTCATTCGCAGTGGCATGTTTCACTGAGGCTTCTGATTGCCAGTGTTGTAGTTTGTTTCAATCTGTAACAGTTGGTGCTGTGCATGCTGTGGTCAGCAGTTATTTTGCATTTACCATAAGAACATAACTTCTATCAGTGCTAGGCTATGCTCTGATAAGGACTTTTATTTGTATATAAATCAATGCAGAGAGGTTTCAAATAGGTGACAATGTCTATGATTACTGACTCCTCTGTAATGTCATTTCCTTGATCCCAAGGTTCATTGCAAGTCCTTTCTATGGTTTATAAAGTGCTTATTTGAATAAAGGCTGCTAATACAGGGATCAAACCAGGAACCTGGCTTGAATTACTTTGTTGGATCACAACCTTAGAGAATGTGTGTTATTTTAACCCCAGACAACAGCTGTGATGACATCTTTTGACAGGGCCCCAGAGTTAACACCTTCAGTGCTTTGGGGCTGGGCATTGTTACTAAAGGAAATTTGCATGGGAATTACATAGTGCCTGAAGTCAGACTCCTCACCTTAAGTTTCAGGATGCAACTTAATTCTTTGGACAAAGCTTCTGTCAATAATTCTTGGGGGAAAAAAACCAAACAACTATCAGACTGGCAGAGAAACGTCTGAAAGAAAACAAACCCCAAATATTATCTCAATTTTGGAAAGTATTATTAAAATATAAGTGGGTCATAAAAGTGATTGTGTGCTTGCAATTCTAAATGTTATTACTTAGCAGGTTTATTGATCAGTTAGTCATATTTGTAACATTCCTAGCGTAGTTGAAATAGAACAAAGTAATCACCAAAATCTCTGTAGATACAATTATAGAGGTAGGATCTGTTTGAATTTTAATTAGTTTTGCATCAAATGTGCTTTCAAGAAGGCACTTCTTGGTGAAAGCATATGTATCTAATTTCTTTCAGTTGTATGCTTGTCATATGAAATTTGGATAGTTCTGCATTATATTTAATGCATTGTTTGTCCCATTCATAGTTATTTTACATACACAGGTTACATTTGGGGATTGTTTTTATATAGCTTTCTTCTATATGGGGTTAGTTACAACCATTGGTCAACGTGACAGAGCAGATCTTGCAGATTATACCAACAGTTTATTAGTCAAGTCCATTGTAACTGTAAAAACAATTCAAGTTCTGTTTTATATTCAAATTATGACTAGTCATCCTTTGTATGCTTTATAATAATGTTGAATTATAATATTTATGTTTATATAACGTTGTATGATGATGAATGTCCTGCATTCCATTAAAGGTAAGACACAGCTGTCCAGCTCGGTATTTAGTATAGCAATGTGCATGTCCTTCAAACAAGCTAGATTAAAAAGGCCAAATTAATTGTACCTTTGACCTGCAGCAGGTTTGAACATAGCCTTACAAAGGTGAAGGGTTAATGCCTCAAAGTACTGTTCCTGATACACAGTGAGGGATAAGAAGACATTCAATCACTGAAAAAACAAAGAAGAGTAATTCATGTAAAATCATTGTAAAGGTGGAATTTAGTCCTTTTCCCCATGGAAATGGACTTGTAAGGCTCTGGTGCCTTGCAGCTGATTGCTCAAGGTCAATGCTTCTCTTATTATTTCAGGACTCTAAATCTGTGCAAGATTTTTCTCTTTTGGGAAAAGTCTCGTGTGTGCTTTAGCTTGGATTTTTTTTCCAGGCAGAATCCCCTTCCAAACTTGGTATTTTGCAAATTTTATGATAGACTCTTTTATAGACCTTGCCATATAATTAGAAAGAATTTTGACTCCTCTGGAGGTCTGTGCTCCATCCTTTCTCCTAATTTTATACAGTGATAGAAGTAATGAAAATATTGTATGGTGCAGCTTCACACTAATAGTGTGAGTTTGGTATTAGTTCCATGTATCTCTTCCAGAGAAATAATGAGACCTTCCTGGCAATAGTTCACAGATAGAAATTAATTTTAAAAGCCCTGAGAAAACCCCAAAACCAAACCACTTTTCCTCAGCCACTCATATGCTTGTACAGTAGGCAACATCAGAAAGAAGTAAAAAAGGGGAAAAAGACCCAGGGAACTACAGGCCGGTCAGTCTCACCTCTGTGCCTGGCAAGATCATAGAACAGATCCTCCTGGAAAGTCTGCTAAGGCACATGGAAAATAAAGAGGTGACTGGTGACAGCCAACATGGCTTCACTAAGGACAAGTCATGCCTGACCAATCTGGTGGCCTTTTACAACAAGGCTACAGAGATGGTGGATGGTGGCAGAGCAACTGTGAGGTGTTTGACACTGTCCCATGTGACATCCTGGTCTCCAAACTGACAAGGCTTGGATTTGACAGATGGACCACTCGGTGGATAAGAGATTGGCTGGATGGCTGCACCCAGATACTTGTGGTCAATAGCTCCATGTCCAAGTGGAGGCAGGTGACGAGTGGTGTCCCTCAGGGGTCAGTATTGGGACCAATGCTGTTTAACGTATTTGTTGGAGACTTGGACAGTGAGATTGAGTGTATCCTCAGCATATTTGCTGATGATACCAAGCTGTGCGGTGTGGTTGACATCCAAGAAGGAATGCTGCCATCCAGAGGGACCTTGACAGGCTGGAGAGGTGGGCCAATGCCAACCTCATGAAGTTCAACAAAGCCAAGTGGAGGGTCCTGCACCTGGGTCAGCACAACCCCAGGCACAAATACAGGCTGGGGGAAGAATGGCTGGAGAGCAGTCAAAACTCTGATCAAATGACTGAGGGTTTTCCATATCTTGTTTTGAGTTATTACTTCAGTCTCTAGATGCAGACTAAGACAAGTGTTCACGTTGGTCAGGACAGTATTGTACCAGAAAGATTTCTAATGAACATGTGTCTACTGAGACTGCAACCATTAATACTGGGGGATGGAGCAGGACAGAAGTAAGGACATAATAAAAGATAGATATTTTAGTGAATGCTGTAGGTAACAAAAAAAAAATAATTTGAAGTAAAAATACAAAATAGGAAAAAAGACTTCAAGAAACAGTCATCTGATATTGCCCTATGCTTACATTGTGTATAGTTATATCTGTTATGGTCGTAGGAGACAAATGCCACTTATGTTCTATTCATTTGAACTGTGCAGCTGAATCATTCTGTTGCTCTCATTCCTCCATCTCTTTCTTTCCCTGAATCCACTTCCTGAAGTCCTCATTTCTAATACCTATAGGAATTCAGTGTTCAGGCCACCCTTTCTGTCTTGTATAATAAAGAACAAGCATTCTCTCTTTTACTGTAGGGTTTTCCAGGTGACTTTGGAAACAGAGGCCCCCCTGGTCCAGATGGGAATCCTGTAAGTATCAAACTGTGTGTTGATTAACATAGTAAAATTTGTTACAGTCAATATTAACTCCCCTTCCAAATGAAAAGGAGAATTTTGCCTCAAAAGCAATGTCTTGAAGTCCACAGGAAAATTTTGAACTGTTGCTTTCCCATGGAAATTGCTAGGGTAGCACTGTAATAAGTGGTGGTATAAAAAGGAGGGAGAAAAGAACAAGAAAACTGCTGAGAGAATAGTTTTCACTGCTGCATGTGCTGGTTACCTAGAGACTCAGATGTCTTGCTGTCACTACATTACTGATGAATATTTTGTCTTTAAAAATTCTTGCATTGGATATGATTTTGCATTTTTTTTATTTAAACCATTATTCTGAGATCACCTTAACAAAATGGGATTCTACATGTGTGCCAAAATCCTCCTTTTATATGCTTATGCATTTGATAATTAATTTCATCCTTTGAACTAGTACTGAATACAGTTATGCTACTATGTCATTTAGTGCATTATAATCAGTATGATAACAGCTTTGTCCTTGGCAGCAAGTGCAGGGTGAAGTGCTGTCATAGTATGGTATTAAACTGTGGCAGTCATGTAACTTCACTGGCTGCCCTCAAAGGAGCTTTGCTGTCTTGCTGTATTTGCAGGGAAACTGGTGGCAGACTCAAAAATCAGGTTTCCTTTGATATGAGAAACCACTGAAAGGGCTTTGGGCCAGATAAGGGAATAACAATCAATAGTGGGCAAAAGAGCAGCAGATTTGAATCTGCCTTTACTGCTGGATGCTCCTTTGGAAACTTACCAGTTTTTTTTTCTCAAGTTTGTTCTAATATTGACCGGAGTCAGCAACTGGGGGGATGATCTTCTTTTTGAAGGCCTGCACTTCCCTAGAAAACCTTATATGAGTTATGGGTTATTGACTGGTGGGTTATTGATGTTTGGTGTCAACATTTTGGAATGGACTTCCCGGGGGGGTGGTGGAGGCACTGTCTCTGGATGTTTTGAGGGAAAGGCTGGATGTGGCACTTAGTGCTATCGTCTGGCTGATGTGGTGGTGTTGGGTCATAGGCTGGACTTCATGATCTTGAAGATGTTTTCCAGCCTTGGTGATTCTGTGAATGTGAGAAAACTGATTTTGCATTTCTGGTCCCTGAGGCAAAGTTCCCCTTGTGGGAGTGTCATGTGATGTCAGTATGGTGCTTTTTGTAACGAAAGCCCTCTGAGGGGTTGTGAGTGCCACCAGCTGCTTTGCAAATTATATAAAAAGGTGAGTTCTTCATTCCCCTCCTGCTACTGCCAAGTGTCCCTCCTTTCCTGATAAAGCAGATATTCTCTTTCCACGAGATCTGCAGAACAGGAGTACTTTAATAGACAAACTCAGAAGCCTGGATCTGAAATTACAGACTGTTTTAACACAAGCGTTTGCAAACAAGTTCCTTCTTATCTGCCAAGACAGCTGCTGATCTTAGTGCCTTCTCAGACAGGCAACAACCCCTCACTCCGCCCCAAAAATCACCCTGCAGGGCTTGTTCAGGCAAGGGGCCAGAGCTGCAGCTGCAGGGGGCTACAATGCTAATGGGATATTTACAGAGCCTGTTTGTGAGCTGGCAGTGGAGAGCAGAGGCTGCCTGGGAGGCCTGTGGTGGCAGGAACTTGAAGGGAAGACATTTCTTCCTATGTGCTGACTTGACACTAATGACATCTGTCTCCATGCCAAATTTCTTTTGCTTAACAGAGTAATGCCATCCTCCATGTCCACAACACCCTCTCAATTATCTCACAATGTCAGTCTGCCTTGGAGGATGTTGCTAGAGCATTCAGCTTCCCCTGTGGTTAGTTTGGAGCAGGTTGTAGAAGTCACATAGGCACCAGAGGGAGACAGGAGAGCACAAAGGTGTCCTCTGTGCCATGTCCAGCAGCCATGCCAGTTTGGGCAGCTTCAGAATGGGCTCAGATTTGCTTGCATAAAAATTTCACTTCACTGTGGGTCCTGGGCTACAATGAACCCTATGTATGATTTCCATTGAGTGGCAGGTCACAGGTGTTAGGACAGCCTGTGCAAAGCATGCTGACCTGGAGGGCTACAATAGTCCTTTGACATAGGGCAGAGACTTGGCAGCTGTTTTCCATGGTATTTAGAATTTTAGCCTCTGATGAGTTAAACTTGAGTGCAAAAAAGGCAGTAGTACAGAACTGTTGAATTAGTTACTTCTACATAAAATACAAATACTGTAGTTTGTATCAAGAATTTTTCATAAAGGGAGTAGAGACTTTAATTTGCAAAGGTCTTTCTATGAACTGAGCTGATGTTCTACTTGTCTTTAAAGGAATCTTAATAAATCTTCATAAATTCCTGTGGTGGGTTTTTTCCACCCACAAAAAATATTTTTTCTTCTTTCCACTTTAAATATCTTGCTAACAAATCTCATATTCCCTGCTAATACAGGAATGATTTCATTATGCAAGTATCTAATTCCACAATCAGGAATTTTAAAAAGTGTAATCACCTGTACAGTGGTAAGCTGCCATTCTTCAGGAACTCTATAAAAATCCCAACTGACTAGCTTTGCAGATCGCTTTTGTTTGTATTATCACTGGGAGTTTTTTAAAATGGCAAGATTAAGATAATCTGAAATTACTATTTTTTTTAAAGGGAATTGTTGGTGGTGTTGGTCCTCCTGGATTTCCAGGACTAAGAGTGAGTAAACTTTATTTACATGCTTCAACACTGCCTAATTAGAATATTTGTCTTGTATGGTTATAAAATACTAAAACAAATACAAGAATCCAGGGGTTTAAACAGATTTTGGTTTAGTTAGCCATGATTTTAATTAAAATCACTTTACAAAAATGCTGCCATATTGCTGGTGTGGAGTACTTGTATACTTGATTTGGATTTGTATGCTTATTTCTGATCTGGTGTGTCTGCATTTTTTTATTTGAAATAATGTGGAATCTTATTTAGCCAAGAGACATCAGCATGGCTGCTCAGGGACAGTTAGCTCTGTGTGGGTGATAAGAAAGTATTGGATTATTGAGACTTTGCAGTTGAGGAAAACATCTTGGCAACATTTTCTCCTGATTTCTGAACAACTTTTGGAAGCTTCCAAAGCATCAGCAAATCTAGTTGCAGTTTTGAAATAAGGTTGGAACACTGCTAAAGAGGACTTCAGCATCTAGTGGCACGAGGCTTTTGTGGATACTAACACACGTGTATAGGAATGATCAGTAAAAATTATCACTGTGTACTTCTGTGTCTGTGTTCCATTGTATTAGTTATGCTGGTTCCTGCTTTCCCAGTCTGTAAGATAACTGGAAGAGCTGTATTTGAGAGGTTTTTTTTAAAGGGAACATTGGGCTCTTTGAACTATAGTAGAATTTCACCAAGACCCCAGGGGAATTTCAGATGACTCCAGCATCCCCAGGTATGGCTGGTGTGATGCAGCCCAGTTCCTTGACCACACCTGGTCTTCAAATGGGAGTTTGCACCCTGGACTGTGTTTTCAAATGGCCCTTATTCAGACAGATGCTAGTGGTCATCCAAAACTGATTGGAGAGCTAGACACCTCAATGCTTGTTCTAAAATACTGAGTCAATTATAACACATCATAGTATTACAGTACACAATATTAAACATGAGATTAAGGATATTATTCTGGCATAAATCAGCAGCATTAATTCAAGTAGCTTGTCCAGGCCAGCTGTACTCAGTGTTGAGAGCTAATTGTATTACTGTGTTTGTTCATGAGAACAACAGCAAAGTGAGCAACATCAGCAAGCTGAGTTCAAGAATTCCTTCCTTCCATGATTTTTCAATATACAAAGTTGTTGCCAAGTTGAATTCTGGCTGACTGAGCATTTTCAAAATTTGCCATGAGTTTTAATAAGATGAAGACTTTCAGAATTTTTTTTACTACAGTTATCAGTGCTAGCTTTCCTTTTTTTTTTTTTTTTTTTTCCCCTTCCTCTAAAAGAAGCCCCAGAATACTAGGAAGCATTAGTTTTCTTTCTCTGGTATCTTGTCTTTTTGACAGGGAAAAGCAATTTGGCTTTAGTTCCACTTGTCACATAGAAATGGTGGGAAAGGTGTGCTTTATGTAGCTGAAATAATTTTTGCTTTCCATCAACAAGTTTTAACCAAACTGAGAAGCATGTGCTAACATATAGAGAGGCTGTGGTAGATGATGATTGAAAAAACTGGCAGACTTACTAATTCAACCCTTTTTTTACCAGTGAGAGAATTATTTATTTTTGTGGGGTTTCAGTTCTTTGCTGTTAATGAGGTCAGCCAATATCTCTGGAGACTGTGACAGGAGTTTCATCAATCTGAATTTTGTAAAGCTGTTTTGGACTCTCCCCATTGTTTTTTAAAGCTAAATTTCCCAGCTCAGTATCCCTTGGTGATTTTTCAGTTCATGCTACTGTTACCATAGTATGTATTCAACGTACAGTACCTTTCATACAGAAATGCCTTGCTGAACTATAATATATGGCACAAATAAGAGACAGCAGTATAAACAATTTATTTTTGCATCAGCTAACATGACAGAATATATCATTCAAGCAGTCATGGAAAGCTAAAGCAGTATCGAGTGGCAATTTTCCTGGGAGCTTTACCAAGCACCACTGAGACGCTGGGTCATCAGTCTTCCTTTTTCTTCAGTGAGCCATGAGACTGATGATGGCTGCAGAAGAATATTTTTGCTAACATTGCTGAAAGAGTCTCCAGGGAATAATGAATGTGTGCTGAACTGGAAATCTGTAGGTGTCCATCTCATCTTTTCTATGTCACTCTCAGTAACTGGCAAAAGATTTCTGTATTTATATTTGTTGCTAAATTCTTACACAGCCACAGAGGTATAAAACTGCCTTTTTTTTTTTTTTTTTTTCTTGCTCTTTTTTTTCCCCCAGAGGTAGAATAGGCAGAGAGCAGATAGCTAAAACTATGTTAGAGAGGGAGAAGTCCATTTAAAACAATTTCTTATGTTTAGCTCACCATCTTTTATTAATGTTAATGTTGTTGCTGCGTTGATCTTCTAATATTCCTTATCTTATTTGTTTCTGGTTCACTTTTTCAAGTAATAAAACTGTCCGTATAAATCCCAGAAAGGAAGGGTGTAGTAAGGACTCTGAAAGTACATGAGAACAGAAAAGGTTAGCATGTCTGTCAGAACTTAGGTTAGGTTTGCACACTTGGTATTTTGGAAGATTCCCATCTCTTTTTTTTAACTTGGTAGAAGTCATGGAGGGATGAGAAATCCTAGTCAAAGTCACTTTTTATGGCATCTCTCATGGTAGAGGAATTCTTTTAAACCAAACTTGATGCTGACAGAGTAGTGATGTCACATAAAGCTACGGACAGAGGGAAAAGGCACCAACGGTGCAGCTGCAGTACAAAAGAAAGCTTCCTTATTCTGAATTTCCTAATTTGCCACTATCATAATCTGCAGGAAAAAAAGGGCCATTCAGTTTCTTGCTGACGTGGTTGGGAATTGTAGAAGGTGGAGGGTTTACAGTACGGATACTTTTTTCCCCAAGCAATTAGGCTGAAAACGATTTTGGTTTCTCTTTGTGGTGCAGACAGTGCCACATTCTCTTACCAGTCCATTTAATCAAATGTTTTATGCAGTCACCTTTCTTGCTCTCTCACAGGGAGCGGCTGGGCCAGCGGGACTGAGCGGACCATCAGGAATTCCAGGGCCCACGGTATGGTGCTAAATGATCCCACAGCCTGGTGCCTGGCCTGCTTTCCCAATTATAGACAATCATTTTCATTTTCTTCATTTTAATAGGGTCTCCCAGGGAGTGTGGGACAGCCTGGAATGAAAGGTGATAAGGTGATTTAAATATTTCCATTTTCCTAGAGATCCATAGTGCTTTCAGACTCCTTTCATTAAATCTTGAGGAAAATAATGTCCTTGACAAAGCCTTCCCCTGTTTCTTTGGATTTCTTTTTTCTTCTGACTTCTATTTTTTAAAATTACTTCAGTCTCATGACCCAGTACTTTAGACAAACTTGCTTCTGGACAGAGCAGTTGCTGCTGGACATAACAATATCCAGGTGCTGTGTCTACAGGGTTTCCTGGTTGAGGTGCTTCAGTGCATCCTCTTGCCTTGTCATTAAAAGAGCTGTGTTATTTTTAAATACTAAAGATTCAATCCATCTTTCTCATTCTTTAATACTGCTAACTACTTCATTTTAAGCCACATACATATATCTGTATAAAATAATATGTTGTTTAGGGTGAACACGGCCTTGCAGGAGAGCCAGGAGACCAGGGTTACCCAGGAGACAAGGTAATTTATATTTTACAAAGTTGCTGGATTTCAGCAGTTACAGCAGGCTTCTGAGTCTCTTAAAATGCAACAAGGCAGTTGCATAAAAGTAGAATGCAATAGTAAAAGTTACTGGTTACCACTGAATGAACGTTGTTTTAAGAAATGCTGTGCTAATTTAAACTTCTCTTTCTTCACTTTGTTCCATAACTAAGTAAAGGGCATGGGCAGAATTCTGGTTGCCACGTGTTCACAGATGCATGAAACAAGGAAAGAATATGGTATGATCTGAAACCTGCTAAGAAACTGTTGTAAAAGACACTTTTTTCTTGAACGCTGAGGTTCATCTGCAGCTCACCTGGACCCGCTGGTTAGCAGAAGCATGTGGTCTGGCATGATCCTTCGTATCATGAAACTGAGGATCGCCTTTTCTATTTGGCTAGTACATCAGAAGTCACTGAAATAGCACATCCTGTGAGAAAAGTTTTGATGCAAGTTGATGTTATAACACATTTCTCATTCCACAGAATTATTTCAAAGTCTGTTCCAATTGGCAAAGTGTAGCAAACTGTTGCTTCCAACATTACAATACATTTTCGTGTTCATTTAATGGCTTTCTTTTTTCAGGGTGCTCTTGGTTTACCAGGACCCCCAGGGATCAGAGGAAAACCAGGACCTCCAGTAAGTTTACACATTGATTTTTCACTCTCAATATATCACTGTAAGTCTCTATGTTTGATACTTCTTTGTATATTATATTCACACTGTATGCAATCTTATAGAACATACCAAATGCAAAATGCACAAATAATGAAGTCTAGGCTGCTTCTGTTTCTAGTGACTGGTTTATTGAGTGAGTCAGCTCCTAATGTATGAGGTTTTATTACAGAGATCAGTATATGTTTAATATGGGAGTGTTTAGGATATTAGGTATTCTGTGATAGTCACTGTATAGGGGAATAGACATGTTGGTAATGATTGAAACAAATGCAGCAAGAGCTTTGGGAGCTGCCAGGATGACCATTTGTGCTAAATTTTGAAAGAGTGTGGGAAATATCATTAATAATGGCCAGCCATTTCTTACAGGGGTGGGAGTAGTAATAAATTCTAGTATTTACTGATTTTTAGCAACTTCAAAGGCATCTGTGCAGTGCTGCTACATCTCCTGGGTTTGGAAATGTTGAGGCAGAAAAAGCGTTTCCCAGGGTGACCTGGCTTTTTCCTCACCTGTTATTAGCACTGCTCTCTGCCTCTTTGTGGCATATGATTAAAACCTGCCAATACTTAACTCAATTAAAAAATTAATCACTCCGGTTCAGCTTTCTGATGTGCAATCAAGCCACTATTTGATAAACCTACTTAGACCTCATGAATGTCATTAGTACTTTAAATTCAGTAAAAAATACTTTATTTTATAATATAAACAGTTACTCCGAAAAAAAAACCACAAACCAAAACAAAAACGAAAAATTGCTTAAGCTTAGATGGGAAACTTTTAGAGATATAAGCATTTTCATTTAAAGATAAGTGAATTAGTCCATTCCTGAACAGCTGTGGATTTTAAGCACAAACAATGTGAGCAACTTCTTGATTGATGTAAAATTAAGGTATGAGGCCTCAGTCCTCCAAGAAACATAATGTTTAACTTTTTAGAATGCATTTATAATGAAATAATTTACAATGAAAATTTAAAAATATTTTCTAGGTCAGGCAGGCTTAATTTTTCTCAAGGAACACCTAGTTGTATGGCAGCAGCAGCAACCTTTTAAAAATGTAGAAGTACAGATATAACGTTGGGAAATATTTTGGTCAGTTTTTAAGTGGGTCAATATTTGTATATGATGGTGTCACTATAACATGTGGATAGGACCTAATTTTATTATTATTAATGACAAAACTGCCTTTTTTTTTGGCCATGATTGGATTCTTAGACTATATAGGTAAGTGTTACGGGTATTGATTTTATGTTGTTTTTTCCTGGTCTTTTAAACTATCATTTAGTTGTAGTTTTAATTATGAAAATAGCTACATATTTCATTTGTTTAAAGCTAATTTGCATTTTGTCTTGTGACTTCAAAGGGGTTTGAAGAAACTAGTCTTAACTGAATCCAAAGAGAGACAGTTATAAAATTCTTTATTTCGTGGAAAAGTCATCTCAACACTTCCATTGGCCTTCTTTTTGAGAAATGTATTTAAAATCTTCATAGCAATCCGCTGTTAAAAAAATAAATTATTGTCAAAAATCTAACTGTTTGGATTTTTTAAGGGGAAAATGGGAGATCCTGGAGCCCAAGGACCACTGGGTCCTCCAGGACCTGAGGTAAGAAATTACTGCATAGAGGTAGATTGAATATGTTGTAGTTCTAAGTTATAAAAATCAGAGGTTTGCCTCACTGAAGATTGTTGTCTTAGTTGTTAGAAAGTACTTTAATTCAGTCATAACCAATGAATAATCCATAAAGTATCAAATTTTGTTTCACAATTTTAATGCAAAGTAGCCTCTCATTTGCTTATGTGATTAGGATTTGTTCTCCTTTGAATCCAGGTGTTATGGATTGATTACACCTTGAATGAGGCTCATGTAGTTTCTCAGGCATGATTCCATTCATGGATTCTACAGCATGTTTACAAATGGGATTTTCCAAGCCTAGTTTCGTATTTCTCTCTTACAAAATAACTTTATTTGCAAGGAATGCAAAGAATAAACACCCAGTTACGTAGGAATCATTGCCAAGCACATGAACCTAGCAGTGCAGTTGCCTAAGAATTGTTTAGTACTGTGAAAGTCTACTCAGAACCTAAGTCAGTCTCCTAATTGTTCCATTTTGGTGCTTTTTGGCATTTGTACCATGGGCTATAGGAAATAATGCTGTGGACCATACAGGAAAAACGTGCATACCCAGACACACGCACATTTACTGGAGAGATGAAAGCAGAAAATGCAGATTTTTGCTTTTAATCAGTCTTCTCCAATAATTTTTTTTTAATATGTCTGGAAGATTTATATATATATATATGTATGTATGCATAAAAGCAATTGGGGTTGTTCTGGACTTACAATAACACCGGGAGCATTTCTCCTCAAGCTGAGGTTCTACCTTCCTAATTTTTTTAACAGGGAGCCCAAGGCCTCTGATTTTCAAGAGCAAATTACTGGGTTTTATTACTTTCTTGTTACAGCTCCTGTAAATCCTAAAGAGCACACTTTGTTATTGAAGATGAGCCCTCACTGAGAAACCTCACTGAGAAGTATATTGTAGCAACACAAGATGATCTTTTCAGAGTTAGCCAGTATGTTTTAATCAATGGGGGGGAGAGTATTTTCATGCTCTTCAGTGAGAATGAAGGCCCAGAGCTTGTGCATGCTGCCCACAGCCTCCCCATGCTGCCTCCTAGTGTAGCTCAGGATTTTGGATTTTGTGAGTCTCTTCACTCTTAACAGAAGAGATCCTTGCATCATCTCTTCTGTTTGTAGAGCTTCTAGCAAAGGGGATTTGTGGCAGGTTAATATCAAATTGTTAGTCTTGAAGCCTATGTCCTGGGGACCCTGAACCCTGTCCTGATAGTCCCTCATAGTTCGTTATTCCAACTCAGGCATGCTATTCCTTTGGGCCTGGGGAGAAATCCAACTTTCAGGGCTAGTACCTACAGGGCAGATACAGATGGGAAAACTTCCTGTCTGAAAATTCAGCTCAGTATTTCCTTTTGCTCAGAGGTGCAGGATTACTTCAGCTACTAGAAGGCAAATAAAGTGCTTTATGTTAGATAATTAAAGCTTGAGTGTCCAGGTATTTTTCTTTGAATAATTTTCTGCAAAATGTCATCTTAAAGCTACACTGCAATGTTTCCTTAACTTTAGTCATGCAAGGCATACCCAAATAAAGTAAAAGAAGTTTTGCCTTCTCTTACTTCATCAAAACATGGTCACCATATGGCAAAACAGCATACCAAGATCTTGAACAAATTGGAATTTCTAGAAGTTTTACAATGGAACTATTTAAGAAAAACCCCAAGCAAACAGCTTAAAATGGAAGATTGCATCTTACTCTCCCTGTTACTTTGTCTTATGAAAATAAGATAATCGTTGCCAAAAGCTACTTAGACACAACTGGATATATGAAGTATGAGCAATTAGTGCAGATTTTCCTACCAAAAAAATCTTACCATCATATATCTAATCCTGTCCCTTCTTCCAAAAACAGACAGCTAGGACATCAGACAGGGCTACTTTCCTTGTTCTTCTTTCATTATCTTGGATGGACAGACTTCCCGTGATCCCATATGGAAAACAGACATGATATCCTGTAGTACACGTTTTCTGGAAAAAGGGGAATGTGATGAACTAGTGTCTTACAAGGGGAGTACTTTGAATTTGATATGGGTGTAGCAACCATACCATATGCCTCTTAGGAACGATTTTATATATTAAAAATACAATGCAAAAACCGATGTTGAGTTTTGTTGGGCACAGCTATGAGTGCGAGGAGCAAGGCTGTGTCTGCCCAGTGGCAGAACTTCACAGAATCATCATGGTTGGCAAAGACCTCTAAGATCAGTGAGTCCAGGGGAAAGGAAGAATTAAAAAACAAAACCAAAATCTTGTCAGATGCTTCTTCAAACTATGCTTCTCACCTTTTGTCCGACACTAAGAATGGGATTTATAAATGTGTCCAAGTCCCCATGTTCAAGCTTGGTTTGGGTGCATGTGAAATTATAACTTGGGGATCCTTTGGTCTCGGCAATTGCATATTTAAGCATGTATTTAATTTACAATATAAAGAATAAGCAGTTATATTCTGAATTTTCTTTTTGTGTAAACTGCTGTAAATCAGGCACTACAGCAGCTGAAGTCTGTATTTATCTCTGCACACACCAGTGGGAGCAGGCCTGGCAGGCTTCATTCATCCTCCAGGGTTTTTGGCATTTTATGTACAGGTCAGCAGTGAATTGCTTCCTAAATCTTTCCTCTGCAGCTGTGCAGAGACACACCAGCTCAGCTGAAGCCACCCACTTGGAGGCAGGGTCCAGTTGAGAACTGCAGTGCTGATGGACAGGAGTGAGCAGAGGGAGGGGCAGAGATCTCGTGCTTGTTTTCTGGGTGGCCATGTAAGTGTTGGCTGCCAAGTGCAGTTTTTTAGTGCAGAAGTCCTGCGATGTCAAGCAAAGTCTCTTGTGCCATAGAGCCAGCATCTGTTGTGTGCCTGGATGCGTGCTGTTTCCAAAGCACTGGGTGTCTTTAGTAAGCACTTCATGGAGAATATTCTTCATCAGTTTGCACGTTTTCCTGCTTTGTCATGCATCTAAAAATGAATAGCCAAAATTCAGCTTTCTAGAGATCTTTATTTTTTTTATTAGCATCAGAGCTGGAAATTGCTAGTCTGACTGTTTTAACCTGCAATACCTGTGATTACTGTGTACAATGAAGTAGGTGATGCTTGTTGTCAACATGAGTGAAATTAGGCAAGGTTTTAACAGGCCTGTATTAAATAAGATTGGTAGAAGAAAATTTTATTTTCCCCCAAGAATGAGGATGAGTTTCCTTCAGAGGTGCCTTCAGATGTGCTCTGAGTATTATAAATAGGTTTCATCTGGAGCAGAGGCAGCATTAATCATTACCTTCAATAGAATGTCTTGCATCTGTGCAGTGTTTTGATCTGAAGTCTTTAGCTAATACTTTCAGGAAGGTACTCATATGGGATTCAGCTGGTATGCTTCATGCTCAAGGCAATAGCATTACAAAGGAAAAGGATACATTTAAATAATAGTAAACAGTCAAAAAGGCACGTATTTTTTAAGTGAATCACTGGCTGCTTTGAGTTGTTCCTTTAAAAAATTTATTTTTAATGCATGTTTTATCTTATCACATGATGTGTTGAGGTTGTGCAAACAATACCATGAGTGCAGTAATTACAGCTTTCTGTTTCACAACTACATCAAATAGCTTTCATGCAAATGACTTGGAATATAGAAATAAAGACAATTTTATAGCTGAATTAATGGCATGTTCTGGCATACATCTGAAAATTGTTCTTGTCATAGAATTGCTTGTACTTTCTGCTTGCCTTTGCACAGAATCTTTAACAGGTCTTTTCATATATGTATTAGACATAAGTATGTCTGATATTTTTTTGAGACATACTCAATTTACTTTGACTTTTTAATAATGTTGAATGATGTTTATTCATGTGATCCTCCTGTGTTTTATGTTTTCTTCAGAGTCAGTATGATAGTTCTGTCTGTGCCTATTAGGTCCTAGTCTGTTTCCACAGCCCTTCATAGATACTTTTCATAGAATTTGTTGTCTTGGAGATTTTCCTTTTTTCAGGCAGAGGTGTGGTGAGACTTCACTAGAAAAGAAGAGACAAAACTTGATTGGTGTTGCTTTATTTAACTCCTGATGTTCTGGATCTGCCTAGAGGAAAGCAAGATAATATTTAAATATTTTTTGTTTGAAACACCTTTACTACTTTGGCTCTTGGGTTTTGGTGTTGATCTTAAATGAAAGAGTTGTCTTGCAAATAAATTTGAAGGACATGTTTTGAAGGATTGGTGTAGGGCCTTGCTCATGCTATAAAGCAGACTACACTAGATACCAGCTTAGTGCAAATGCAATTATTTTAGTGCATGTTGCATGCAATATGTAGATGCACTAGACAGCTTTAAAGGATGATGGTTCACACTTGGAAAACTGGTGACAAAAAAAGTGAAAACTGGCTTCCCAAGAAAATCAATCACTAGTGTTTCGGTGAGCATGGCTTAACAGATCTGCCATGTGCAATTAGACAAAAGCAACGTCAGCATCATTTTACTGACATCTTGGGAACAGTAAATTGCAGAGCTTTTCTATATTGTGAATTGTGATCCACGATTGCCATTTTTTCTGTTCTTGTGACAAAATGCAATTGTACAGTTGTAATTTGTACTGCTCAATTCCTTCCTCCATCCTTTCCAAAATGAGAAGCGAAGGTTTGCAGGAAAAAAGTTTTGTCTCCACCCTTTAAAATTACTGGCATTAAACTTTAGATAGATGGGCACAAAAGAAATCTCATTTTAAATATATTTTTTTTCTTACTGTTTTCCTCTTTGTGCTCAGCACATTATTGACAGTGTCACACAGTCGGACAAATGGCAAAAAACAAGGTCCTGCAATTGTGTGAATACTGACATTTGTGTAGAGGAAAAACTAGGTTGTTGGTTTTGGTTTTTTTTTAAATTGTATTGTATCTCTGCATAGGGTGTCCTATCAGAAGAATAATAAATACTTCTTAAATGAGAATATAAAACCACATCTTGTCATCTTAGTTTAGAGAGACTGTAGTTTTATACAGGTATCTTCCTTTTGTGATTTAATAGTAATTTGTAATAAAGCTCTAATAAGGTATCTTGCTGAAGTTCAGTTAGCATTGCTTCTGAAAATTCATTCTAAATTCTCATTCGAATGAAACACAGCATGTGCTTGAATGAAATAATATTGGAGCAGGGAAATTTGGCAACTGCAGGGAGTATCACTAGAAAGGTTTTGGCTTTTGGTGTCCTTCCACTGGCACTTGTGTCCTGACCTCTCTGAAGGCTGCTGCGGAGCTAAAGGGCATGAGGTTCAGTGCTGGCAAGTGTCATATGGATACAGCTTGGAATGAGTGGGATTTTTCAAGTGTAAGAGAATTCCTAGTGAAAATGGAGTGTAATTTCCAAACATTTCTGGTTTTCTGCTTTCATGTTAGTGGGGACACAAGAAAACAAAGAAAAGGAACAGTTTTGCAGTTCCCTCATCCCTGAGGCACTGACTTCAGTACAAAAAGACATGTCCTGACATAGTAACAGTCTGATCCTCTCTGCATATTTTGTTAATCCTATATAGATAGATGAGAGCAATAAATAAATCAATTTTATACTTAAATGTATTCAGCATAGAAAGCAACACTTTCACAGCAAGGTTGAAGGACAGCTGGTTTGATAGCTGAGACTTCAGGTATTTCTGCACCACCTCTAGTTTGATTAAATTGAGTGAACTCTAAAGTGCTTTGCTGGCAAAGGGCCACATCTGCAGCAAGATTTTGAAAATTGTAACCTAACAGCTGCCAGGCTTCTGGCTGGTGGGGAAGATAATCTACATTTTGCATTTCATTAATAGAAGTCATCATATTGAATGATGTTTTGTTCCAAATTGCTTATGCTTAAATTTATGTTGCAGCTGGAAATTATGCATTGATGTCCTGGCCTGTCACTTATGGAAAAATAATGCATTTTTAATCTGGAGTAGCCTCTCAGGGAGCTGGCTGCTGAATAACTAGTGGCAATTTCAGGTCTAGGTAGAAATTTGTACCACTTCACTACTCAGAATCTGAATGGCAAATGCCATTGCTGAAGTGTGTTGAGAATTGCTTTCTAGTACGTTCATTTTTTGGAATTATCTTAAGGGTTTTTTACAGGTACACAGAACTATCCACCCCTTGGTAATTATTTAACGTCTGTAAATAAGCAAATTTAAAATTAAGAAACGATGAGTCAGCGACTTCCAAAGAGTATTACCTGACTCTTCAGTGTATTTAAGTAGATATATGTGGCCAGGATTTTTAAAAAGAATCCTTTCATGGAGTGTATAGGCTGAGGCTAGTACTGTAGTCTCAGGCTGGGTGCCTTGGTCACAAGTGACTCATATGCCATGTGCCACCTAGAGGCATCTTGCGGCGGTTGCGCGGCTCTACCAGTGGATGCTGCTTCTTGGCATAAAGATACTACTGCTGGGTTGTTTTGAGACGTGCTGTGTGTTGGGGTTGTTCCACTTATTCTGAAAATTCAGATCAGTTATTTTTGACTCTTTAGTGGTTTTCTTTATTACTCATTAGCATTCAAGTGCTAAACCAGAATTTAAGAAATAGTGTGTCTTTTTGTTTTTAAATATATAAACACACGTAAGAATATTTTCATCCCATCTAAATCTCTACTTATAAGTGTCTCTGCATCCTGTTAAGGACAGGTTATAGAAAGCAAACAGAAGAAAGCCCTACAATTAAGAACAGCGAGGCCCTAAATACTTTAATAATTTTATTGTAATGTGGTAGTTGAGGGTAAAATAACAATTTCTTTCTTTACCTTTCTGGTAAGTTTTTTGTGGTTAATGTCAGATCACAATTTCTAATGATAATAATTATTACCAGTATTTAAAGCTCAGCTATTCTGGAAGAACAGAGTAGAGTTAGCTGTTAACCACATAGTGGGGCTATTGAAATTTTTAATTATTTTTTTAAAATACCTCTTTACTGGTTGGAGAACCTAAAAAGTGACTCTTGAAGTTTTAATGATGACATGTAATAGCCTGTACTAGTATGGAAGGGTGCCAGAGAACATTTAATGCTGGAGGTTCTTTGAGATGTTCTTTAAGTTGTTCTGAGCGTGTATCGTGCTTTCTTCTCCATTATTGAAAAAGTATGCAGGCAAAGAGTGATATTTATAATTTTTAATCTGCAATTTTTTCTGTTAGGCAAGAAGGAAATCTGTTTTTATTAGTGTTAGGTGATGGATATTTACAGATGTAGTAATAAACATTTTACTCGGAGGAAGAACTTTTTAGTGGCAGTATATTTTCAGATAAGCAAGATTCAAGTAAATTTAAAAGTTTATAAAAATAACAAAATCAAGTACTATCTTGGCAGGTGAGTGAGTGAGCCCTGTATTAGCTTAAGAGTCAATTACCAATGCTATTTCCTTCAAATACACTTATTCCTTTTAAGGATATCTAGTTTTAGCACTGGATTTCTCTGACATAGAGGCACCCTCATGGTGTCTCATTCAGTGCATACTGGCCAGATCTTTTGGGGTGATAATTTACATTGATTCATTTCCTTTGCATACTCATTTTTTCTTCATCATACTCATCTTTTTCTTCAACAACAGCTGGACTATACTACACACTATTTCAAATAAATTTATTCTGAATAATTCTACATGTTGGTGACCTCTAGTTACTGTGAGCTAGACCTGAGTTTTCATCTGCTGATTTGGAGATAAAAGGCTTTCTACCCTATTCTTAATCTTGCAGTGATTTTGTCCTTAAAGTATGGCCAAAGATTAAGGGGTTTCATGCTCTCTTTAAACTTTTTTTTTTTTTTTAAAATAGTTGAATTCATAAGTACATGGCCTGATGCTGGGTGTTTTGTGGAGTTTCTTGTGCATCAAAATCGATCCAATGGTTTAGTATCATATGTTGCATAGTGGATAAAGAGTCTTATGCTAAGAGAAATGAAACCCATACTAACATTTGCTAAATTGAGTTTATGAAATCTGCCTAAAATCTGTCACTTATCCACATCCTTTCAAGGAAATTTAATGGATTTTGACATTTTGGGAATGGTAGAATGAATTTATTTCTTGTTTCTGTGATTCAGGTTTTAAAATGACTGGACAGAATCAAAACAAGTGCATTGGAAACATTCCTACTCTGTAGATAATTTGGCTGTATTATTTCTTTAGGGTTTTCCAGGAGATATTGGTGTGCCTGGATTAAATGGCCCTGAAGGTCCTAAGGTAAGAACTATATGTGAAAAATTATTCATAAGATGAATAACAATATAAATATCTAAGGAAATGCCCTGAGAGAAAGCCACTGGCATTATGGGAAGATCTTTCTGTCAAAATACAGGTACTCTGCCTCAGGTATTTCCACAAGGAAGTTAATCTAATGTTTATTGTTGTCTACACAGCTATGAGGATAAGTACTTGTGTTAGATGGAAGCATGTCATGGCCAGTTAAATACAAGAACTTTTGGAAAAAGTGCTATGTAGCTAGAAAGTACCATACCTTTCACCAATATTTAAACAAAATGCATGCCAGATACTTGCAGGTCTCTATAGTCTCACCTGAGTAATAGAGATTTTTTAAAAACAAATTTTGAAAAAAATAGTCACTAAAGATATGGAGAAGTGGGTAAAATTCACACACCAGATTAAATAATGGGTAGAATAATATATTTAATAATAATAGATAAAATCTGTCTACACAAAAATTACTGTGCAGGTTTAAATTCACAGGTTTAATTTAATAGACTTATGTTTTAGACCAAGCATGGGCAGTAATTCACATGTAGAGAGTTTTCAATTAAGTTTTGAATAAAACCACATATGGGAACTTTTTTTAAAAATTGAAAAGCTAGAGACTAGTACAAAAAGTGCAAGTGGATCAGAAATTAACCCAGAGAAGGATGCTTGAATAGTATCTAAGGATGGACTACTTGTTCTTGAAAGTACAAATTAAGTTCTTTGCTCACCAGCCTTGAGACTGTTCTTACATTATTTTCACTGATACATAGACTCTAGTATGATGGAATGAAATTTGTCTGTGAAACACAGTTGAGCATCTTTAGATGATTCTAAAAGGTGCATGTCTTACTAATTCATTGCACTTCTGTTACTTCAGGCTGATGCATGCAAAGACTAAAACAGCATAATCCTGCAGTAAACTTAGAGCTAGGAACCTGGCCAGGAGGAGTGACATTGCCAGATCTCTCTGAAATAAAAGCCCAACAAGGCAGCTAGGAATTAGGGCAAATTCTAGAACACATGAGGCAAGGTGTCTTGTTAATGCCACTGCACAAAGCACAAGAAGACTTTATCTTAGTAGTATGCACAGTTCTGGGCATTCGTATTCCCGAAGAACTCAATCAAATGGGGCTAGATGTGGAAAAGGATACTTGAATGACTGTATTCTGAGAGGCAGTTTACTTATCCTACCAAAATGAAGGGTCTCTTTGAGCTGTGTGAGCAGAGGACAAAAAGTGGCAAGGGAAAGTACTGTGCAAGACCAACAATATCATTGGTTCAATGACAAAACATGCAAGTTATTCACGAATAAACAGACAAAAATGACAAGATTTTACATCAACGAGGTTGTGAAATTCTTTGGTAGACTATTCAAGAAAACATAAGACAGGAAATAGTAAACAGTTTATAGATATGTTCTTATTTATACCTGGATGATTGCAAGAGTCCTTCCTTGCCAAAGTTAATAATTCTGGAGAACATCTCAAATAATCCAAAGCTATATCAGATATTTTCTGCATCTCATATCTTAAATGTGTGAAGAGCCTTGTCCCAAAAGCTCAGACATGAATTTACTAGGAAGGCTGAAATTGCATCATCTGATGCAGCAAACTGGGGAGAAGTTAAAATACATTTCCGGAGACAGGTGTGGACTTCTTCTTTAGTTCTGATTTATTGATTTGATAACTTATTTGAATGTATGTGTAATGTTAACAGCCTTATATAAATTATTTGTATCTGACCACTCCAGTGCCAGTTGCTCTTTTGTTTCTGAATTACCAGGACACTTAAAAAAACTTTATTATATGAGGCTGTGTCTAGGGGAAAACAGGAGAAGAGAAAAGCAACAGTTCTTGAATTACAGATGGGATTTAATCCTCCAAGCTGAATGATATAACTGAGATCTAATCCCTGCTGCCCAGTTTCTTCACTAAGTGAGATCATATTATTCCACATTATGTCCAAAGTGTTAAATTAAATGGTTTGGGTTTTTTTTAGAAATGAGTTTCTGTTTACTACATTAATTACTGATCACAAATTCCAGAGGGGGAAAAAAAAAAAAAGTACTGAAAGGTAACCTACAAAGTTGAAGGCTCTGTATTCCTTTGATACAGAAATTGCATAGCTGAACAAGATTCAGTGGTCTCCAGCATACTGGGTCTTAGACACCAAAAGCTGAGACAGCCTGCTCTAATCAGAAAGAGTTGATGGCTTACATTTGAGAAGGAAGATTACCAAACTGGAAAAATTCTTTCACCGCTCCTACTACCAAGGGAGAAGGGCTGCATAACACTGGAAATGTTTGGCTTTCAAGATTTCCAGCTGTCTTGTGTTGCCTGGAGTTTTAAAAAATTTCCTCCAGCTTTTATTTTTAGAAAACTGTTCTTACTGTGCTGCTCTTATGTTTTTGTTTATGCTTCCTCAGAAGCAATATACATTTTAAAAGCCAAGAAAGCAGGGTTAGCTTTCTTTTTTAGCAGTTGGCTTTGGAGAAGTTCAGCCTCTTGGTGGAAAGTTTAAGCTCTCTGTGAGTGTGATCAGTCATCTCTAATACCAGTAGAAGTTCTGAATTGTCAATTTTCCCTAAATTACTGCAGTAATCAGCAAACCTGACCTCTCTAAAATAACATTCAAAGCAAAGCACTCATTATATAATTTGGTCTACAGCACATTGCTCAGCTTGGAAACAATATTTTAGAAGGTGTTTGATCTTGATCCACTGCTTATAAAAAAAGAAAAAGAAGCACACTAACATTTCTTAAAAGGAAATAAGAATGTTTTTAAGAAGTTCTGAAATAATAGTTTGTTTCCTGTGTTATTCTTCCAAGTATTTACGTTCTGAAACAGAAGCAAGAGGAAAAGATGGTTAGAATATTCTGACTACAACTGTAGTTTTTCTAGTAATGTTCATTGTACCATGGAAGTAGCTGAGAACTTCCTTCCTCTGCTGATTTATGTTTGTTTGGGTAACACATTTAACAGAAGTGGCTGTTAAGAGTTTCACCACTTCTGGAAGGGATGGTCAACTGAGAAGTTATATTATGTGAAATGCAAGATACCCCAATTCGCTGACTCTGTTTTTTCCACTTTGGTATCTGTCTAATGACTACCTTAATTTTCTGGTTTTTGCCTGAAACCTCAAAGAACTGGAAATTTCATTTAGTCCTAATAATAATTTTACAGTCTGGGACTTTTTTCTGGGTCTAGTTACATGCAGTGTAAGGGTGTGTACAGTAGCACTGCTGCTAACATTTCTACTTTGCAACTCCATTCTGCTGAAAGCTGTATCTCCTAATGTGGTTTGTACTTGGAATAAAACAACAGTTCTGTCAATTATTTTTGTGACTAGCTACACGGTAATATTACTTATATTGTGCTACTAAAAGCTCTCTGGTCACTCTTGTGGTGATATATCAAAGAGTCATCCATCCCAACCTTTCCCAGGCTGATGGGCTTTTTCATGAAACTCAGTACTATGAGGGGTGGCCTGTTCTATTTTCTGTTCCATTTAATTTTGCATGCTAAGTAAACGGTTACTGGACCAATGCCTTCACCTTCTGTCTAGACTTCAGCTTCATTAGTAAGCAATTAATAAGGCTTACACTTGGAACTTGCCCAGCATTGCTTTCTTCACAGGCTAGTCATATCTTTCCTAAAGGGCAGTTTCTTTGTTCTTGTTGTTTTATCTGATATCATTAAGCTTAGCTTTCCCAGAACATTAATAATATGTTTACACAGATATTTTTTTTCCTATACCAGGTCAAGTGCTTTTTTCAATTACTACCATTGTAATTGGGATGACAGAGATTTTTGACACACTGCTATCTGTGAAATAATTTTAACAAAGTTTTGAAAGCGCTGGTGTGAGCAGTCATGAAAAACTCAGAGCTGACAAAAGATAAGGTGCTTTATCTCTGTGAAGCTGATTATAATCCTAACAGAAAAGTGAGACCTGAAAAATCACAAGGAGTTTTGTACAAGCTAAGCAGTTTAAAATAATTTTGTGGTTAAGTTCTGTTGCACTGTTGTCATCGCATGTTGTTCTAAAGACCATCTAAATCAAGTAGAGTTACTTTGTGCTTTAATCTAAATATGATGGTTGGCTTTACATCTTCAAGAAGGAGGAAGTATTCTTGTGTGAGGCCAAATATTTTCTTATTTCCTTTTCAAAAAGATAAAAGAAAAAACTTCAGAAAAATCTATGTGGTAGAAGTTTGTAAGATACTCAGTTTTCAAGCAGATATTAAAATTCTGCTGCATCTTCTCCTGGCTTCCTAAGGGAAATCCTAAGAATGATGGTAAGAAATGGAGTCTGATTCTTCAGTTTTGGATTTCTGTCCAGGTTTGTAAGAGGGAAGAAATTAGACCAACCTGATTGGTAGCTGATGTAAGTTCTCACTGTGTTTGTTTGGATGTTTAGGGACTTCTGGGTGACCGAGGGTCTCCAGGGCCACAAGGCCCCAAAGGAGCTGAGGTAAGATGGAAAAACTGTCTAATCAAGAGAGTATGTTTAAAATAAAAATTATGAGGGGTGTAGGAGGTTTAGACAAGAACTGTTAGGTATTTGTGGTGCTGTCTTGCCAAATTTCAAATTTCTTTTGCATTTTGGCAGGTTTTGCAAAGAGGTTTTAGCATCTTTACAGGGCTATGCATCCATTGTGTGATTTTATTTTTGTTATTTCAGTGAAATCTCAGATAAAATGTGTCCAGAGTCAGATGTGGTTGCTCTAGGTAAACTGGGGAGATGAAATGGAGGGAGTGGTATGGATATAGAAATCATATATTGTTTTAATTACAGTATCCTAGATATACTTTACTAAACAGTTTAGACCACAATTAACTGAAGGGGAGCAAGGCAACTCTTCATCTTATGAGTGTATAGGGTATTCTTAATTCATCATCATAGAAGTAAAAGCTCATGTCTCTCAGGCTAAAAGTACTTAACTTTATAAATAATTTAATCAGTGATTCTGGGGATAGGCATCTAGACTTCTAAGTAGCTTAATTACGGGCTTCCATGACAGATACTGAATAAACACAAACAGTGGCAAAATGATCTGTTTAGTTAGAAGACAGGAAGCTGCAGATGGGTTTCCTTAATTCCTCTGTTTCCCATTGCTTGTTATTGCAGAGGTTGTGTACCACTTCCTCCAAAACCTGGAGAAAATCTTCCATATTGAGGAGGATTCAGTGATCACAGCATGATGTCCTAACATGGCACTGATGCAAATCCATGCTTTAATGTAACTATGTAATGAGTGAATACTGAAGAGTTAACACTGCAGTTCCCCCTCTTGCATAGTTTTATCAGTGCACTGTGCAGCACAGGCACAGTGTCCCATTTCTTATTTTACACACCTGACTTCAGCCTCCCTCCATTCCTGAGAGAAGATAAGGATAAACCCCGGGAAAATGGCTTGACTAACTTAGTGGCTGTGCCGTTGCAACACGGAAGAGAAAATCAGGGATGTTCCTACTTCTTTTAGTCATGAAGTGTCAAACGTTGCTAGAAGAGAGTTAACTTTAGAGCAGTGAGGTTAAGCTGTCATAGCCAAGTCTCTCCCTGCTCAAAATTGTGAAAATATTTCTCTAATTGTAGGTATAGCAACAGTTTCACAGCTTTTCTGTCTGCATCTAGTAACTACATAGGACATGGCTTTCTGGCTAATAAAGTTGTCTGAAATCAGATTAGTGTCTCTTGCAGTGTTTCTGTTAGACTTGGACTCATAAAAACATATGAAGCAAACTTAAGATGATATAGTAAATACAGACCATTATCTGCAGATTTTATTTTTTAAAGCTAGACTTGGCATCAAGATTATTGAAGTTCTAAATTTTTTAGGGAGAACTAGGACCAGCTGGACCTGTTGGAGGAGTCGGCCCAAGAGTAAGTACAAGCAATTTTGTTAGGGCATTCTATTTTTCAGCAGAAGTACTGCTTTAAAAGGTAGATTTCCCGTGAGAAGTGTTAAAATGGCATCTCCTGAGTAAATGTCTCTTCAGCACATACTCAAAGCAGAGCTGGGAGGAGAAATGGTTTACCATGTGAAGGATTTGAAAGAGAGTCACAGCCACGGTGCAGAAAATAAAATTTTCTAAAAGGGAAGTGTCAATAACAAACTGCCTGTGGTGCTTCTCTGCTTCAGATGGAACCACCATGTACTTCCTAGGGACTGAACCAGCTGATATATAAAAATATTGGGGAAGAGCTCACCATGAGACTTGGTTCACAGGGAGAAATATAAAGAACTGATGCTTTAAGAAATCCTTTTCAAACAGAGCAGGTAGACAGTTGCTGAAAACAATAAAGCTGGAATGTCACAATGCTGCTTGTGCTGACAATGTTTTTTTTCAGCTAGGCAAATGTAAAAAAATTGGTCAGAATTTCAAAACACTTGGTGACTTAGTTCAATATTCAATTTAATGAGCCTGAGCTTTTGCCAAGCGCCTCATGGAAATTTTTATTTTGGCTGCATCATACTTTGAGTCTCCTCCTTGGGCAGGGCTTCGTGGTTGGACAGTGTCTCCCATGTTGTGCTGTGGCAATTGGAAAAGGAGATGCTGAAGTGTGTGACTCACAGGCAATGAGACACCTGCCTTCACAGCCTCTGCTTCACGGGGCACGCACAGGCTGCCATCAGCTGATGTCAGAGTGACCCAAGAGGAAAAATTTCTTTGTAACCTAGCAAACTGAAATATTTTTTTATCTATTATAGGTCATTTTGACCTAAATTATTTTAGGTTTGATTTCTCCTAATGTGCACGCCATTGGCACGTATTCTGGCTAGTTTCTCTCTCACAACAAGCTATTGAGAGAAGAACATGAGGATCTTAGGTGGCCCCCAGAGTTGCTGTCTCCAGACATTTTTTAAGTAGCTTGCTGGCTAACATCCCCTCCTGAAATAAGAGGTAGGGGAAAGGAAAATTTTGCTAGATGGGGAGCCTTGCACATTTTTCACCCTTGTCTCAGGACCCATCTGCTCCCACTTGGATTCTACAGCTTCTGTTGGCTGCAGCTGTTTCACAACTCCAGGCCAACTTGTTAGCACTGCTTCTCTGAGCTCTGCTCCCATCTCTGCTTTTCCTTGCTTTCTTCACTCCCTCTTATGATGTGGACTATGTGATTACATTGGAGAGAGAGTCTCAATCACGAAGCTGCTAAATCTGATATAGTTCAGCAGAACAGAGTCAGTAAGTTGCTGAACAGATCTGTCTTTTTAATTGCAATTTCACATTGTTTTGATGGAGTTAAAAAAAACAAATGCTACATCTGAAAGTAAATGCTACTGAAGCTGTGTTGTCACTGTACTAGTTAAATTGCCATGAGGGCAGAGCAGGTCTCTGAGAAAGACCTGAAGAAGTGGTCTGGCTGTGCATGGCCCTAAGGCACCATGAGCTGTCAGCTGTGCCTTTAGCTGACAGATGTCTAACTTGTTTTTTGCAGCCTCCAGGGGTGGGAATTCTTCATTTTTCTTGGCAATTTGCTTCAGTCCTTTGCCTATTGTACATACAGCTTTTCTAGTGTCTAGCCATTCTATCTGAAGGTCTTGCCTCTGCCTTTTTTGTTACAACCTTGCTTCCTGTCCTACAGACCTTATTTGGAGGCAATGGTTAGTAGGTTAGTTCTTTTCAGCCACTGTTATCCTGACTTTGTTAGAGTTTGTTTAAACTAAGTAAAGCATCCTTGTATGTGATACATTGTAAACCTTTGCTTATTCTTATGAAACTGTTCTAGTTTTCCCTTGGGCAGTAGTGGGACAGGTTTCTAGTGCTTCTGCAATTCTTCTTCTACCATGTAGTTTTTAGGTCAAACGGTTCAGTCCCCAGCTTAGGCATCCACTACACAGGCAGCCTTCAATTTTCCCTTCATTTTTCTTCTCCCCTCCCACCCTCACCTTTTGTTTCTATAATTTTCTTTAAAAACATGTATAAGACCAAAAACCCCTGGGATGCACCTGACCAATGCTGCCAGCAAAACAGATCATCTACTGGAACAGAAGGTGAAAATATGAACCTTCAGTCTGGTTCTCAGGTCCCTGTTTGGAAAAGAATTCCTGTTTGTCTAAAACAACTGGAGCCACAACAAAGGATGTTTCCCCACTTAAGATATGTCTCAGGTTCCACAGAGCTCAACCTCTTTGTATGTAGAAAGAGGTTTTTGAGCTGAATCTGATAACACAAATTGATTTTTCATTCATTCCTTTCAAAACTTTTCCACACATTCTATTCCAAAGTAAAATACTTAGATTTTCTTAAATTAATCCTTTTAAATAAAAAAAAAAATGCTGATTTTTATTTGTTGGTTTATGTTGGCTGTGAAAATACAGTAGATGCCACATTGTAGAAGTGACTGTGTTTATCTAATTTCCTCCCAATTAGCTCTTAATCAAAGGCTATCCAAATATTAACACTGTAACTGTCAGTGTAGCTCAGTCACTGCAAGAATTGGTGCATATTTATTTTTCTAAAATGTGTATTGCTTGGGGCAGAAAATGCCTTTAAAAGGAGGGAGATTGTTTTAAACCAGACTTGTTGAGAGTAGATTCCTTTCCGAGATACATGTGGTATTTATATAGTTGTAAGGTGAGCAGTTCCTCCTGAAGATAGAGGGAAATTATCTCCAAGCTGCCCCACTCCCCTGGTGTGTTTTCTGAGGGTGACATGTGTCTTCCTGTGGGCTGAAGGCATGTGGGGATAAGAATAGAGTAATAGAGATATTTATATTAAAATATACACACTTGTGTCAACTCATCATGAGGTGAAAGGGAGCACAGGTGTTTGCTGCCTCCTGAAAGGGAACAGTAGAACTTTCAGCTAATATTTTAGGAAACAGACGTTTCCTTTGGGATTACCCTGCCCTGAAAGAGTAATTTTCTCAGGGGTTTACAAGCGGAAAAGCGGCCATCCCTAGTTGAACCTTCTGTCAATGGCTTTTCCACTCTGTGTAATTTACAGTTGTATTTCTTTTCTGTTTAAAGCCAGATCTGTATGTTCCAAATTGCTTTACCAGTTAAATCCACTTGTTCCATTTTCATACCAACTTCCATCTGTTATGTGTCCTTTGCTGCTAGTACATAGCTGGGGTACTACAGGCAAGAATACTTTACAAGTTGTAACTCCAGTTCAGTTCTGATCGGGCTAAAATTAGCAAGGTAGTTAATAGTGGCCACTAGTTTTCTTTCAGTGAATTTTGTTTTAAACATTTTTATGTTACATTCTTGCTGTCTAGCAAGACCTTAATGTTCTTTGCAGCAAAGCAATTATACAGCATATAGCAACCTGGAGAAGCCCATGACTTGTTCTTTGCTAAGCCTTGTAGAAAGACTTGCTTTATTTAAGTCTCAGAACTTCTCTTCACAGCCTCTTCTACCTGTATTCCTGATGAGAGAGAAGAAGCTTAATATAGTCAATTTAATCAAGAAAGACTAAATTATATTTGAGCAGATTTTGTCTGGTTGAGGAAGGACAGTTACGACACCAGTCTCCAAAGTCTAAAGATGAAATTCTGTGAGTGTGAGTCCCAGTTCTGCTGAAATTAGTCAGGAGAGAACCTTGCCTTTTCTTTGTCTCCTTAATATGATTTTAAAGTGAAATTGAAATGTGTTTGATTCTTGGATTGTGACTTTTTTCTCAGCATTAATGGCTATAGAAGTTCATAGGGATTCTGCTTACCATGCTAGCATTTGTTTTAATAATCAACAGTGTATTTTCAGATATCAATTTATAAATACACTTGCTTCAAATGGGGATATTTAAAATTACTATCCTGTACATTTCTGAGTGCCCATATTTTGGTAATTTCATCCCAATTTCTGTATTTATCTTTTAAAAATAAAATATTTACAGTGTTTTGTTTCAATCATTTTAGGGAAAGCCAGGACAGAGAGGTTATGTAGGTGATCCTGGGCCAGAAGGTTTAAAGGTAAGGAATGATTTTATCTATGAAATAAAATGTGTTTGGAGTATCAACTGTGTACAAATTCACACATGCTTCTATGTAATATAAATATATATCATACTGGTGATTCTGCTTCCTTGCAAATTCTTATTTTGGAAAAGAAGGAAAATAATGCAACTGTAGGAGACAGGGATGTGTGGGCAGGGAGTACCTTCTAAACTGAGATCTAGCTGCCAGGGGATGTGGGTGTGGCTGGGCCATGGGACAAGAAGGGACCCAGGGCAGTTTATGCAGTGGCAGGATTTCAAGGGTATGAGGCGGGAGATAAGTTGAAGTGCTGCAGTTTGAAAAAGGAGCTTGTAGCAGCAGGATTTCTCAGTGCTGAGTTGCAATCTGAGTAAACAGTACACAGATTACTGTTCATCAGGGCTCTGAGATTGTAGTCATAGCTAGGTAATTAATAGTGCATATACACCCAGCTCCCACTTGCAAATTATGCAGCAAAATGTTCTGGAGTTACCTTGTGTGACTTGCAGGAGTTATTATGGAGAACAGAATTAAATAATATGATACTTAGTGCCAAGCTTTTGGGAGGAGTGAGAGAAGTTTCTTCAATTGTCATTCAAATGTCAGTTTTCCTATTTTATAAAAAAAAATATCAATAATGTGCACTGGTAACATTTACTTTTGAAGGAGTTGTGAAATAATTATGGTAATTCACTGAAAGGAAGATTTAAATAAAATCTAAATAATTCATTTATACTATTTGCTGACTGTGTATTTAGTGAGCCCTTAATGCATAGTTTTCATTTTGCAGGCAAGTCCTAAGGGCATTAGGACATATTTTTACAAAATCAGCCACTGACAAAATTAATTTTTCTGGTTGTTTTTTTTTTACCTTTCAAAGTTTTAATTGGCAGATGTAATTAGGAAAATAAAGAGGTTCCTCGGAAAACAGAGGTCTTCAATCTACACATATGAAAGAAATTACTCTTCTAATGAACTGCATAATCTGTTTTCTACATTTAACAGGGAGAACAAGGAGACCAAGGGAACCTTGGAAAAACTGGTGAAGCAGTAAGCTTGAATTCTCTTTCTTGTTTTATTTTTAATTCTGTGTTTGAGTGTGCTTGAGTTATTTGTTGCAGTAATTTTGTTTCCCTTTCTTTGAAGATGTAGTATGTTGACTATACTTCTGTGGTCTTTCAGAATCATACTATTTAAAGAAATTGCTCGTTTTAATTATTTTCCAGAGTTGATTCTGCTTTTTTTCCTAATAAGTTGAGTGAACATTACAGGTAGTTGTAGGCATCTTCCAAAGCATGGTTAAGAGAGTGAATTAATGATCCTTTTCCAGTTAAATTGTTTGAGAGGGTACATTTAGCCTGAGATGTATTTTGCAGACTTACTGTGTCTACCCTCCATAAAATCACATAGCTCAAGGTGACCTTGAGGTGGCACGTAGTCCATTCTCTACTGCCTAGGCAGGAATAGTTGGCTAACCAGTTATTGAAAAGCTCCAAGAACAAAGGCTCCATGACCCACAGACAGCTCTGGGCTTCTTGATTTTTAAAAAGTTCTTTCAGTTGTGTAACCTGACTCCCTTCTGCTGAAAACAGCACTTTACAAATGATGGTTATTGTGGGCCTCCTTCATGCTTTCTTTTCAGGCTAAAAAGTCCAAATTAATTTAGCTTTTCATGTTTTATAGATAATTTCAGTCACATTCTTACTCTTCTGTAGATGGTTTCCAATTCATCTAAATATCTTTCAGTCCAGCTTACTGCTCAAACTGTTCAGACTGCTGAGAGAAAGGAAAAAATGCTTTTTACAAGCCATATATTCTTGAATACACTTGGCCATTTCTGCAACAGCGTGTTGTTAATCAGTTTATGATCTAGTCTCCAATTCTTTTTTTAAAGTAATTATATTTTACAGTTCTTCCATTGTGGTTGATTTTTACTTGATAACTGTCGTTTAAACAACCTTGCAGATCTCTCTGCTTTATTTCTTACTCAAGTGTTTTACATTAATATATTCTTATTCAGTGCTAAATGAGCTCCATTCTTATAAACTTAATATTCACTAGCTCAAATATATAATAAATGATTATATGTTTCACTGATGATTAAAGAAATAATCATACTAACTACCTAACTGTAGTCTGGGACAAGCTGCAAGAGTAAAATATGCCCGGTGCCAAAAGAGGGAGGGGATGGTGTAGCCCTATTACAGTGTTATAAATGGCCTGTCATTAATTACTACTTCCCTCACATGCTGTTTGGAGAATCTGCATATGATACAGGATGACATGAGATACCTGGGAACTGAAGTGGTTTATAAGCTATTGATACATACTCTTTTTTCACTTTTGGATTGTAGATGAGCTTCACAGACCCTTGATCCTATTGTGCTACTTTTGTATTATTGGCAGCAGAGAACTAATGCCCACCACATTGTCTTTAGGGGGATAATATGTATATATACATATAATCTTGTGGTTAAGGCCAGTAGTAAAACACCAAGAACAGAAGACAACCTTTCAAACACACTCGGCAGAACTCACAGGAAGATCTTTGAAAATCCCTTCCCTTTTCTCACTGCTTTTCCTAAGTAAATTGAAAAGTACTAGCAGGAAGAGAATTATATTTCTTGACTGGAGGAAATGGTTTTCCAGATGTGAGTCCTGATGCAAAATACTTACTTCCGTACACTTTCAATGCAGTTTTTACTTCCACCTTCCCACCAGTGATTTTTCTTGGTATGCAGAGAGAATACAAACTTTTTAATTCACAGATAAATCCACTCCCTGCTTTTCAACATTGGTTCTGATAGCAAACGTGATGACTCCAGAACATCTATGGAATCACACACACACACAAAAAAGTCTAAAAGCAAAAGACAAAGTACAAGAGCAAAGTACAAATGCTGCTAGCTGCTGTGACAGATTATGAGATGGAGCCCAAAAGAAGACAGGGAGTAAAGCCTTATTGATGCCTTTCAAAGTTTTGTTACCAGATGCTTGGTGACATAAAGTACAGAGAGTTTGAACAAATAGCACTCAGTGTGCACTTACTCTACAGTTCTTCAGAGTAAAAGCCAAGGAAAAAGTAAGTACTAAACAGTTCATAGGAAGTCCAATGTCTAATTAAATTGTGTGTGTAGGGTTTCTTCCTTCTTCCTTCCTTCTCCCTTCCCCCACCTTTTTGGCTTATCTAGTGTTTGTTGTTTGTTCATTATCTTTACTGACTTAATTTTTCAAATTACAGAATATGATGCACACTTTTAAGGCTGCAGTCAAAATATAGAACACTGTTTTTATAGCATTAGGGAATCCATCAGAGTATTACAGTTTTCCAGAAGAAAACTAGTGCATTCCCTGAACTAGGTGTCAAAAGAAGCAGTTTTGCAATAATAAATCCTGTAAATGCTGAATTCATAGCAAATCATGACAGGAATCATATGTGTGTGTCTGGTATTCATATCAAAGGGTTGCACAAATATTTTTCTTCTGTTTTGTTCCATTTTACTACTTTTCATGGTATCATCCATCTTGTATCTTTGACTAATACATCTGTCACTGCTGCCTGAAGTGCCAACACAGCTAATGCTTTTCTCTAGTGACTTTTCCAGGTCAATTACTGCTTAATATCTGCTTAGAAAAATACACATGGCAACTGTGCACAAGTAGGAAATTTTCAACAGCAGGAGACTGGACCATGGTGGTTGGTTATTCCATCTAGGAAGATGGGGTATGTGCTGACATACAGCTTTATCAAAAGCCTAGAATCCAACACTTCTTAGGTCACATGAAGCTGCTGACTCCTCAGAGCACGTTTCTGCCAAAGTATTTCTGGGTGTTTGTCCAATGTGGAAACTGAGTAGACTACATTTATAAAATGTTCACTGGGCTCAAAAGCTTGAAATGACACACATATTAATAGATCAGGAATTTGCCTAAGACAGAACTTCAGATGGTATTTCTTAAACATTTCCTACAACAAAAACTCTTTCTCTCCCTACTTTAAAGAGGAAGGTAGGCAGGTTCAGGTGGTGCTGCTTGGCTAAGCAGAGCCCAAAGCTGCAATAGGATCCAGCTCACTGTCCTTTCCTGCAAGATATTGTTAACTGCAGAACCATCATATCCAGTTGAAGAGGGATTGGTTAAGATAAAAGTAATGTACAGCAGGCAGAGCAAGTTTACACTGCTGATGAGACAGAATTTTTTGGAAGTCATGCCAAAGGAAACAACCACTTTAGCTACTGAGAAGATTGCCCTTACATTTGAGAGGAAAAAAATCTCACTTTGCTGATGTATGCAACTGGATTTTGTATGCCTAAAACAAATGCTCTCCAGTGATTCACAGCAAGTATTTGAAACCATCTTCAAGCATCTTATATAAATGACCTGTCTGTGTTGAAGTGATAGGGATGATTTAAGAAAATGATACAAATTGCTCAGCTTTTAAGGCACAAAGTTGAACTCATCTGAATTTAACAGTTGCTTGTCAGGATTGTGTTATGGTTTGGTAATGTTAACCCAGACTGGGCCACACTGAATAACTAAGTGAACGTTAATTCCAGTTCCTCCTTCCCAGCTCCATTACAGAAATTCAGCCCTTAGTCCCTAGACATCTGAATTAGAAATCACTAACATTTATTATATTGAGACAAAGTGCAAGGATAGAACTGTCAGCTGCAGCAAGTACAACTGGTGTTGAAAGGACAAACTAAAATAAGCAGAGTTCACAAACACAAATCCTGGAAAAAAAATCTTCAAAGACCTGGAAAAGTTGTATGTCAGCAAGTTTGCTTAGTTGCAAATAGGTTTTGAAACAGCAGAAGAAAAACCAAGCTGAAATGAGAAATGCTTCCACTACCCTCATTCCTGTCCCTCTCCTCCCTCAAAAAAGTTATGTCCAGGGTACAGTAAAAAAAAAAAAAGTGATATTCAGGCTGTCAGTGACAGCTGCACAGCAGACTGAAAATGGTCAGCCTGTCGGAGCCTGTGGGAAGGCAAGAAAATACTACAGCCAATTTATGTGCCTAGGAGATGTGCTTTTGAGAAGAATTCCCACAAAGCTATTACCACATCTCCTGCAGAGGTAAAAATAAGGTGGATTAGGCACCAGGGATGCTTAATTTATGGAGAATTGAAACTGCAATTACTTTTGAAGAAAAGATTAAATGAGCTTTAACTGGTGTTTGCAGGATGCTCAACAGGAGGAGTTCTTTGATCTATCAGGAAAAGTCTGTGCTTTGGGTATATGCAAACAAGAATTGTAAGCCATAGGCTAGAAGAAAGGTCAATTGAGGCAAATCTTTTTTTCAAAGCTTAGTGAATGCATGGGCATTCCAAGAGCTTCAGAAGAATGGACTGTAGTTCATCTGCTTTCAGAAACCTATTAGATACTGATTAGTGTAAGTTCTGTGAAGATCTTATGGTGAATGGTAATAATGATAGGTGTGTATGCTGTGCTGCTTGTTTTCACCCTCAATGAACTGATACCTTCTGCTGCCGGGTCTTTTCACCAAGAAGCCTGAGGAAACAGGTTACCATTTCTGGAGATTAGATTTTGCAAGCTTTTGTACATTTTCCTTGAAGAACTTCTTGCTGGTAGTGCTCTTCATCCTCTAGTTCCAGCTGCCATGCTACCCCACAGAATATCGCCACCCTCACACCCCTTCAGGTTTTGCAAGTTAGGACTAACACCTTAAATTAGTCAATGCTCCTACCGTAGAGAACAGTGAAAGAGCAGGCTAATCTGTTCTGTGTGGAGTCAGCACACATACAGTGTTTTCACTGTCCTGTTTAGTGTCTGAATTTAACTGAAGTATTTAATGTAATCTAGAGGAACAGTATCTGCACATGGCATCTGTAGTTTGGCTTCCAAGGTTTTACCAGTGGGCACATTGTGCTGCTGCAGTGTCAGCATGTGAATCCTGTGAATGCAAGTGTTGCTCTGCATAATGCTGTCAAACAATTAACCTACCTCACACTGGTTCTCTAAAAATGGAGTGAAACAACAGCTGCAGGGAACAAATATGGTGCATCTCTGCTTTCGCTTACCTTCTCCACTGGCAGTAACAAAGCATAGATTTTAACTCAGATTGTTGCCTCTGGCTGACTATCAAGTAACTTTCTCAACAGGCAGAAAATGGCAGTGAAACAGATGGTCAGATCTGGGTGTCAAAAAGAAGGAAAAAAATAACATCTTTTTGAATATCAATTACCAACACAATCCTGGGTAAAACAGCTACAGATCTTATGGTCACTTCATAACATTCTTAGTAATATGGTTACAAGGGTAGGAAATAGTTTCTAAAGTTTAGAGGTGGAACCACCAACTTGTATAATAAGCAAGGATCACACAACCAAAAACCAGGATCACTATGTGGCATACATACAGCAGTTTGCACAGCTGTCAGCCAATAGCTCCTTAGATGCCAAGGGCTGAGATGGAGCCATTTTCTAGTCTACTTATGCATTTTGATAATTCAGACTAAAGTGCCATTAGAGGCCAAAGGCAGTATTGGTCACTAAGGGATTCAATAATTGAATCTGGCAGTAAACTGTAATTCAACTGGCATCAGTTTGCCTTTTATTCTTTTTTTAGCCTTTCAGACAACCCAAATTACTGGAGTTTCTCTTTTCTGTGAGAATATACGTTCTCCAAAATTGATCCTGCTTCATAGTGGTCTAGAGACAGGGCTTTCTTTAAAACTTCCGGTTAGTTTTACCTGTAAGTGCAGGATACTAACAGCTGCTCCATTCAGTTCATACCTTATCCTGGTACAGTAGTAAGCAAATGTTCTACACAAAGGCTTTATTGAAATTTTTTGGTTTCAAAGTCTATGGTTCACCAATATACTGGTTTTGGTCAGATAAAAATAGAATCACACAAAAGCATTGGTCTGATACAAATTCACCTGAAAGTCTATGACTAGCAGTGTTTTTTATTCCAGAACAGGTGTCCGGAGTCCATGACACCACCTTTCTCACACATCAGCTACCTTTTGTCCTACTGCAGATGGTATGAAGCTCAAATAGCATCCACTGTAAACCATGCTTTCTGCCTTTTTTTCCTAGGCCTGATCTGGGTCACACCACACAAGTTAGAAGCATGCATGCACAGTATTAGGACACCAACATCCAGATGTGTTGGTTTAAAAAAAATCAGTACCATAAGATCTGGCTAACAAAAGAGCTTAGATTAACAGTTGTTTCTTGTATCTTAATTTTTAAAACATTTTGAGTTGTAGGGATATTTTTTCTAACAGCCGAGTCTGAAATAGTAGAATCTGATTTTTTGAGCATGTGCTTTTCTTCCTCCTTCCTACACCCTTGGTTATCTTTAACATAGGTAGTTAGTTTGAATCCTCAAGGATCCTCAAGTAAACTGTGATCTGTTGAAATCAAACCTAATGTTATCTCGTTTGGGGGTTTTTATGAGTACTATGCCAAAATGTATTAAGTCCTTCATGAAGTGTGGAGCTGATAGGGTCTTAAAGAAATGTCTAAGGGGGAGTCTTAAAAAGTAAGCGGAAAACATGACATTGCTGAATGCTGGATCTGAAATGAAGTGATTCAGCACAGATACAGGACAAATTTTAATTAAGATTAATTGGAAATTTAAAAAATGTAGAAAAATATTAATGTGGTAAGATAATATTTTAAAATCATTTATGTCATCTCATTAAATTATGTTGAATAAAAACACTTGAAATTTATTAATTCTAAATAATGCTGGATTGTAAAATTTTCAGTTAACATGGAAGAACATGTTAATGTACAACCTGACAGGTACCTGCTTTCACAGGAATGTTTGGAACCAGTTGAATATTCATTTCTCACTACTAAGCTTTTCAATTGATTACTCCATGCTTGGGTTTGCGTTAAGTATACAATGTGTTTTCAATTATTCAAGTACAGTCCAGTTTCTAACACAGAGCATATGCCCTGGCAAGATGTTTCTTTCTCAGTCATGTGTTAGTTGTGAGATCTGGTCTCTGATTAATTTTCCACAAAAATGCTCCTGTCAAGAAGGTTTCTAAAATGCTGTTATTGTCACTGAAGAGTTTTATGCAAATCCTTGTAAATGAAAGTTTATTGCTATCTTTCTAAAAAGGTTTAAAGCCATTATGTTTTTTAAAAAAATATTTCAGGTGTTTTTAGTCTAGTTTTCTGTTGCCTTATACATTCAATTTGATTTTTGGAACCCACCACTGCTTCCCAAAGGGTTGAAGGGATTCTGGAAGACACTGACTCAACAAACTTGCTTTGGATTGTGAGCATTTTCTTATGTAAGAAGCAGAGAGTTGAAACATCAGTCTAGTCTTAGTGGCTTGTCTCTAAAATAAATCAATTGAAATCCAGGATTTGAGGATGATCTATAAGAAAGTCTATAGGGAAAATAGCATTTTATGGTCAATGTATTAATGGAATACATTGTGCTTGGCTCTCTGATTCCACTTTGTTTTTACTATATACTATGAATGATTTTAAGGATCAGAATTATCTTCCTAATTAAGTTTTTTTTCATCTTTTGCCTCTGCATGTACCTGTCCTAGCTTTATTTCAGTCTTGGCACTTGTCCCCTGTTTTGAATGGAGGAGTGGAAGAAGATTTAGTTAACCTATTGTGAACTATATTCCCTATGCTCCTATGGAAGTCCCTATTGCCTTTATCATTTCAGTGACTTCAATTTTTGATATCACGACTATTTTTATGCTTCCATACACAGCTGCTTTCACTCATGCAGAGGTTTCTTTTCCCATCTTTTATATCAATAAAAATCCACTCTCTTAGTGTTTTGCTTGTAAACTTTTTCACTTCAGAGGAATAGCCAGTGTCTAGGGAACTTGCTACTTAACAGTCAACTTCTGTCCTTGCTCTGGAAAGTGCTGTAGGCTAGACCTACCGTGCTGCATATTCACCATCACTGCTTCCTAGTCATTCCTTCTCTTTCAGACCAGAGCAACTTAGACAGAAAGACAATACTTTTGAATTAAAAAAGGGCAGGGGCTGTATAGTGAATGCTTCACTGCCAGTACAAGGCACAGCTATCGATCTTTCTAATCAGCATCTTCAGACCTGTAAACAGTGTGGCATTGGCCAGGAGATCAGATGTGCCTCTCTGGAAGGAGAATAGGTCTGAGTTACATCTTGGCTCTGATTATGTCTTCTGTCCTTTCTGGAATGAGAGAATCAAAGGGATTAATCAAGCCCTTTGAAACCATACCTCCACAACCTTTATCTTGATGAGCAAGAGTACAGGGCAATTCTTTGTCCCACAGATTTCTGCTGAGGCCCACTGGCCATGACTGGTAGCAATGGTAGCTCTCGTTCTGAGATCATCACAAAGTCCCTCATTCCTGCCAGTGACGTCTGGGCATCACCTTAAGTGCCAGTATCACCAGGATGAATCTTTGTCTGCTGCCAAGAGACAGCTCAGTCCTGACATACAATACATGAGTTCTCACACGAGTCCAGCGCCATAGAGATGCCTATTTATCTCTTTAGCCCCTTCCAGAAAGTAGTTTGTGCCAGCATTGTCAGCCTCAAAGGCAGCTGTATCAATGAGTTATTGCAATATATTTAAATGATGAGAGTTCTAGAGGAAAATAGGTCATTACAAGGAGCTTCCATATTTCTGCCATTTTTTATGAGCAGTCATAAACTATTGCTTTTCTTCAAGCCCACTGCTTCATACTTTTCTCAACTGGGGCCTTGCACTATACATGTATTTTTTTCTTCTTGTTTGATAATAAAAGTATTTCAAGCACTTTGGTGTTCCATATGCTGGTACTTGTTCTATCCATTGGAAATTTGTGAGAGAGCCTCAGGAGAGTTAGTTTGTTTCCAAAAGGACTGAAAGTCTCTGATCCCCTGACTTCAAAGGCATTTGGGGCTACAACACTTAAAGGGAAAATTCTGACAACACCTGATCCAATATAAATTTTTGTTCTGACTGGCTTTTATTTTGTTCCACTGAATTTATTCCCCTTGAAATTTGTAGTCAGACTAAAGTGGTAGCAGAGCAATTATCAACTTTAGGTTTGTAAAGCGTCTAGCACTGCAAGACTGAGCTCAGTGGCAGACCTTAGATGGTATCAGTGTGATGATTAAATTAATGTAATTTCTTTTCAAGCAGTAGCCATTTACTGTTGATCATAGAATCATGGAATCATAGAATCCTGATGTCTCTAAATGCCATGATCCTCCTGCATAGATTGTAAGCCAGGTTAGCTTGCACAGTCCTCACTTCCCCACAGGAGCACTTGCACAAATAGACCGGTGGTTCTTGGGGATGAAGAAATGGGCCATGCTCTGCTTCCAGATTGCTGGGGAGCTGCCAACCATGAATTAGTATGGAGGTTGTACTAATAAGTCTGTTTACTGTTTGTACAGGGATCAGCTGGCTTACCTGGAGAAACAGGGCCGTCTGGAAGCCTGGGTGAAAAGGTATAATAATGTATCTGACTAGTCAGCCACAAAATCCAGCTTTGAAAACCATTCGGGTGATAAAATATTCGTGAGATTATTTACCGACCACTGACAAAATCGATGTTTGTGTAGCTATTTCAGAGCACAGGGGTGTAATAAATGTTATTCTAAATCCCATTATTTGAGGTATGCAGCTGGTATTCCTGATTTTACTTGATATTGAATTTAGAGCTGATAGATTTGGTATCTTGTTCATATTATGACAATTGACTATTCACTGCTATTGATTTACAGAAATTATGTGGCATAAATTATACGTATGTTTTACACTAGTTACTGGTTATGTACTGCTGCATAATGAAGAGACAGAAGTAGAACTGTAAAGTTTCTCTGTATGTATTAGCTGAATAAAGAAAACAATATTGTTAGTTTTTTCTGCTGTGCAATAACAGTTGTGTTTATCAAAGCAAAGTTTGGCAGATGTAATGTGCCTAGAACAGTATAAATAACCTAAGTATATTTGACATGGTTTTATTTTTGTGAAGTATTTAAAAACTGAAAAACAGGAAACTACTACTGGACTGCACGTCTGCTTTACTTATAACAACAACATAATTGTCAGAATGATCCAGCACCATTTAAATTTTTTCCCCTCAGGGCTGAATTATTACATCTAGATTGGTGGCAGCTATTTAGACATTTTATTGAGAAAATATTAATAATGTGTTAGAACTTCCATGACATTTTCATTATAATGTATATAACCTACAAAAAGAAATACATCAGTGGAAAGCACTGCTTGTTAAAACCAAAATTTAAACAAGTCTCATATGATTTTAATAACAATATAATCTTAGAATTCAGTGTCAAAGGATTCTTGTTCTTTATAATTACACTTGGCCCAACAAAGATTATGTTGGGATACTGCTACTAGTTTAGCTAGGAAGAAAAAGGCAGTAAAAGACTAATTTATTATAGATTTATCAGCAACTGGAAGCAAGCTTCTTCATGGTGCCATTATTGTTGCCACTGTTATATTGTTTCTGTAGAGTTTATTATCTTCCTCTTTTGCCGATTAAACAGTACAATATAAACCTCCAATGTGGATTTAAAGTGCAAACATAATTATTTTAAATACCTGTCTTTAACAGTATGCAACATAAAATACACCATTATCACAATGCCATGTGTACTATCTGCAATAATAGTGTAACATTTTTATGAGGATAATCTACAGCCAAGCCTGTGTTGGCTGGTTGTTACACAAAATAAAGGTGACAAAGTGTGTAAGGAAGAGACCCTTCCTACTTCCCCTACCCTAATTACTTCTGTAACTGCTGAAGGGCTGGTCTTGCTTTTAGATCTGTGCTTTCCTAATGTGTACTGAAGCGATGAGTAAGAGATGAACTACATTTTCCTTTTTGCTTGTTTGTTGTGATGAATTTTATGGATTAAAGTATAAATGTGAGAGAACAGAGTGAAAAGGGATCTGCTAGCTGCAGTGCATAAAGGCTGATGTACCAAGTCTCTTCTCCAGTGTCCTAGGAAAAGGGAAGACAGACAAGTTCAGTTATATTACCTTTTTGAAAGATGAGTGGGCTTGTAGGAGAATGAGTGAAGAAATTCAACAGAAGTGAAAATTCCTCTGCACTGTTTCTGAAGGATGGTCCCTGAACCAATGGTGTTATGCACTGCAAAAGTGGTTAACTTCAGCAATCAAGTCTCTTGTAGACTAAGGGCTACAATCCTCTTGAAAAACCTCTTGGATTGCTGTGGTATTGTTACTGCAGGCGAGCCTTGTGCAGATATGCCTGGCTCAACAGGTATGGAGCTGGTCAGGAAAAGAGCACTCACTGACATTTTATTTTTAATCTTTCATAAAAGGGAGAGCGAGGCAGCCCAGGACCAGTAGGTCCTCCTGGAGAGAAAGGTGTCATGGTAAGTCACCAATTATGTAGAATGCACAATTGTATTTCTTAAATAAGTGTTTTGCTTTCCAAAAGAGTAGTAAGTTCTCACTCTTCTGACCTTGCAAGCTTTGTGGAAAGGAGTAGTATTTATGAGGTGTTTCTCCTAGGAAGTTTCATTTAGCAGCTTTATCCCCTCTGTGGAAGTGACATTGCAAAGCGATCTGTTGAATGAAGCAGAGGAGCAGTTGCCTTTTTGAAAAGTGGTTCTAAGCAGACTTACATAAAAAAATAAACATAATTAATTGAAAGGAGGGATAAATTAAGGAGGGAAACTAAATTAATTGTCTCCTGTGGACTAGCTTAACACAGGTTATTCTAAGGGACAGACTGGTAACCAGAATCACTTGGTGCCACTCTGGTGGGAGGACTGGCCTGTTGTTACAATAACAATTTTGATAAAACTGTTTAGTCTTTTCTGTATTTATTTCAATTCTAGGGCTACCCAGGACCTACGGGGGGGCCTGGACCTGTGGGACCAGAAGGATTATCTGTAGGTATAGAGTAGTGCTTCAGTGTGACATGAAATGTACTATTTTCAAACTGTCTTTTTGTGCTGTTGAAGCTAAGAATGGTTTCTAATTTGTACTGCAGACTATAAAACTGTCATGAAAATTTACACATCTGGACACAAAGTCTGTTCACCTGCTCTTTACCAGGATGATCCATGAGAGACAGGAAAACTAATTATGTCATTTACTCATCCATTTATAAATCACTCTGTTGAGACAAGTAGAGGAATAGAATTTTTTCAAACATGGTTAATAATTGCACAACACTTTTAATTTATTGGGGCATAATAAATTTTAAATATATTCTTTCCGGGTTTATTTTCATTGTTAATAAAAAAAATATTCTAATTTGCTGTGTATAATTGTGTTACAAGTTGGCTAGCATGGGTCTTGTACAGCAAATCTCAATAAAAAAATATTAGGACTTTTTAATGTAATGTTGCTGAAATACAGGTATCCTTTAGGAATATTGGGATGTTGGACAGAAGTGATTTATTCAACAGTCATACCAATTTCTTTATCAGAATGAAGTTACAGAGTCTGTTATTTAGGTTTTTCTAGATAAATTAGACTGACAAAATTAATTGAATTTGAAACATGAATGAAAGTTATTTGTATTGGTTGCGTTGTGCAGGAACCTTGTAATTTTCAGAAATCTCTGTACAGAAGACAAAGAATAATAAGTTTATTTGACATGTAGGGAGCTTCAGGGAGAAGAGGACCACCAGGACCACAGGGACCTAAGGGAAGAAGAGTAAGTAATATTGCTGTTTCACATTTCTTCAATGTGAATCTGACACGTAACCCATCTACAGTTGCTTCTTTTGAACTCTTGTCTTCCAATCTAAAGCCATTTTTACTGAAATCAGATGATACTTGTATTTTCATGTAGGAAGCGATATGAATCTTTTTTTCTCCTCACATTCCAATTAAATGGGGTTCTGCCATTGATTTCATCTGAAAGCAGGAACAGAACCAAATTACCTTATTTTCAGTATACATAAATATGCAAATGTTGGCATTTATAGCTACCATTGGACTATTTCAATGTTTTAATGGCTGTTTTGTTGTTTTTTTTAATCTGCATGTAATTTGTGTCTTTGGGAAGACAATAAATCACCCAAACATGCTTCTAAGAGAGGAAGAAGCAAAGTCAGAAGATAGCGTATGCTTGAATCTCAAACTTCTGACTGGATTGTCATTGTCATTTCATGCATTTTTGTCATGGGAATGAGAAACATTTTTTTGCTGTATACAAAACACTAGTTAAAACCCACATAAACAAAGAGAGAGACTGTGCACATCAATTTGTATGCATTTGATCACAATGCATAAAATCAGTATCAGTGAAAGTACTGAAGTTTGTGACCTGGGGGTGGTTGACTACATGGTTTTCTTAAACACTTTTCATTCATATTCCTCACCAGGCACTTGCACCTCTTCTCTGGAGTGTTTTTTTTTTGGTCATGTTTTTGCAGTCTGAGCTCAAGGAGCCTGCAGGAAGTGCTTCTACTTTATAGTATAGATGGGTTTGTTTGCACCATGAGCAAGTGTATTCTCAATGGAGCTGGTGAAGAATAGCAGCAAAGATGCACCCTTCTAACATCAGCCTTACTTAGCAGTTTGGCAACATATCCAGGCTCACTATGAGATTTGTATAACTCATACAGGTGGCTGGACCAGTGTGTCTTCACACTGATGCTACCTTCAGGCAGTGCTTACCACTCATTACAGATAAAGTTCCTTAGTCCTTGTCAGTGAGATAATTTTGTTGGCTTATACATGTCATAGGAAACAGAAACTTTTGTTGCCACAGCAAAACACAGTAATAACCTTCCTTTATCATTTGTTATTGTGATGCATATGTTTTCTAAGAAAATACATGGTAAAATTTGACAAGCTGTAAGATCTGCAGGTTTTACTCCGGTTAAAAAATAGGTACATTACAATGTATTTGGATTTGCAATCTCTGTAATACAAAATTGGTTAACTTATATCATAGAATCATGGAATGGTTTGGGTTGGAAGGCACCTAGTTCCAACCTCCCTGCTATGGGCAAGGAAACCTCCCACTATATATTCTTCTGCATTACTTTTTCATGACTGCTAAACTGTTAAACAAGAGATTTGGTAAGGAGTTTTATTAAAACATTTAATATATTCAAAATAATATATCTGAATATATTAAACGTTTTCATATTAATAAAATCTATTTGAAGCTGTTTTGAATATTCATTGTGTTTGGAATATGCAGTATTTGGAACTACAGAGTATTTTCAATAGTTTTAATATTCAAAATATACAAACTTCACATGATTCAAATGAGTCTTCCTTCTTTAGTATGGTTTCCTCCTCCAGAAGAAGAAATCTGTTTTAATTTACCTCTCTGTTCATGGTGCAGTTTGTGAAATATAACATACTAAATGTATAATTCTGTCGAAGTCTGCAATAGTGGTTCTGGGTTACTCTGTATTAGAGAAGCTGCCAGCTGGCAATGCCAAATGCAAGTGTTTGGGGTTTTGGTTTGTTGGTTTGGGTTGTTTTTTTCTGAGTTTCAGACATAGAGTATAATTTATCCCAGACTTCAGTTTCCTTAAATGGGAGAAGCAGTTTTGAGCATATGTCTACATATACTTAGAACTTCTTGTACTTGTCTGAAGTACCTATCAGTAGGAGATTTGTCTGAGTCAGTATTAAGGAATTTTTCTCAGCAGCTCATGGAAAAGGACCTACCCGCCATCATCTGAGAGAAACTGTATGGTCTTCTGAAAATAATCTTATTTTTTTCCTCTCCGTGGATGTGGTTTTTTAAAGCCTATTTAAAAAGGATCTCTTAGTAAAAAAAAATTCTGGAAAATTACTTTGCTAATTTAAAAACAGACACTTTAATATAATAATGACTTATCTGTACAAACAAACACAAAAAAACAGCCAAACAAAAAAACCCCAAAACCTGCAAAATCATATACACTGAACAATATATTTTGATAATTTTACATGCAGAAACAGCAAACACTTCCCACATCTCACAGGTCACCTGCTAATTTTCTGAACCACGTCACAGGTGATCCATCAGTGCCCAGAAATATGTGTTTATTGAGGCCAGTTTATCAGGCAAAACTGAAATGCAGATATATTTGTTTATGTGACATGCCTAACAAAATTCAAAGATAAATCAGCTGCAGAGGGCTAGAATCCACCTCCACTGGTAAGCACAGTGGAGCACTACCAAGAACTGGGGCAAGCAGAAGTGTCCAGCCCCAGGCATCATCTCACAGTGAAGTAGCTCCTGATATGTTCAAAAGGTGCTTCTACAAATGTATTCACTGGAGAGAAGCTCTAAGGGCTCCCACTCTAATAACTAAGGCAGCCTTGTGACAGAGGAGTGAACCTCTGCTTTGGTTTAGAGAAGCAGAGGGAAAAAACAGCCTTTTTATTTCACAGGCAGATTTGAAAATGTAAATCAAAACAGAAATGCAAAGCAGTTGTGAGGCAGAAAAGAAGGTATAGCACCTTGGCACCACTTCTTCAGTGGCCTGATCCAATGAAACGAATGGGTGCCTTACCTTTGGGATTTTAGAAGGAGCATGTCTGAAAGTGAAATACATGCTGAAGTGTTATACTGAATTGGGAAAAAGTGGCATCAGATGAGGACTACACAGAGACAGTCATCTTCACTCTAAAATGATGATATTGGAGCTTCATTTAAAAAGGAAATATCATTGGACCGTATCAGTCCTCCGGAGTTTCACTTTGACTGGTGGCCTGTGGGTTGCAGTGAGGTAGAAGGCCAGCTCAAAAGTAATTTGGTGTAAATAGTTCTCTCTGACATTGGTACTGAACTGCTGCAGGTTGTATTTTTTCATTCCTCTGGACACAGCAATCCTCTGAACTCCTCTGATCCTTCCCTTCTGGAAAGTCCATCTGCCAGCATCACTAGAGTTCAAATCAGAGCCAAGCTACTGAGATGAACTGAGTCCTTCCCTGCAGGCTCTTCTCCCTCCCAGAAGCATCTACTACCTGTTGATTGCTTTTTATAGGGGAAAGAATTATTTTAATTTAGATTATATTTTGAAGGTAGAAGGTAGTTTGTATTTAAGGAATGTCTCATCTTCTGCCAGCTGAGACAGGAATCTTTGAGGGGGTCTGTCTCTGATTTTGGCAGTACACCATGGATTACATTGTGTATAATGAAAGATCACTCAAAATAAATCTCAAATATCCCAAGCTTTGTGGAAGTCCTGGTTTGCAGCTATGTTTTATGCCTTTGACTTTGTCCATTATAACTGGGAATCCTTCATGGAAGGGGGTCTCAGAGCACATTCAGGTCTTCAGGCTCTGTGAACAAACCCCCACTGAAGCCACTGAGAATTTTTCCTTCTCTCAAGACCAAAATATCACATTCCAAGTAGAATATCACATAAGGAAAATATCTGAGGGGCTGTGAAATCTGGGGTGTTATCCCAAGCTCTGATGGCAGGCCTCAGAAAAAAGCACACCACAGTCACTTACAGAAGTTAAATAGAAGCATATGGAAATTTCCCCTTGTTGTGGACTGAAACAAGAACATACCTCATCTTCACAGCTGGAATCTGCAGGAAGTCTTAGGAGCACTGACACTCTACTTCTGCGCTGTCACAGAATAGAATTCCTTCATCTCATAAATTCTGGACCTTTCAGCAACTGGTTTGCATCCAAGATTACCCAGCAGCCTACTTCTGCCTGAGACTATCCAGCTGCTCAGGCTCCAGAACACCCAGGACTTCTAGACAGCTGAAGGCAGGATGTCTAGGTAGTCTACAGAATCTGTCTCTGTCAGAGGATTATGCCAATGAGCATAGTGGTAGCACAGAACTAACTTCCTCAGCTCATCCTCGAGTCTTGATGCACTCCCGCTGGAATCCCACGGAAGATTATCTATTTATTTATTTATTTATTTTTAGTATTAATCTCATGACAATGGAGGGAGAAAACTCTGTTGTAGATACTTCAGTGGCAGAATGACACTCTGGGGGGTGGGAATATCTGCAACTAAAATAAATAATTTCTTCCATGGAAGACAGACAGAAAGATAAAGAGGAGGGGAGAGAGAGAAAGATGTCTGAAAGACATGCTGGTAGTGGTAAAGGTAGCCATGAAACCATTGTTGTTGTTTGCTGATGTATGGAGAAGAAAAACAGTGTCAGTGACTGGTGTAGCTTTTAATTTGAGGAGGAGGTCCTGTATGATGAGATTTATTTTATGTGTGAGACCTAAGCAAAATTCTCAATGGCTGCTAGGAGACTTAGGCAGTTAGTATTCTTCAGCCTGATGTTTAATGTTTTAAAGCTTAAAAGCAATCATTTTTCTGCTTTCGCTTTCCTGGAATGCAGCTCATCAAATTTTTAGTTCAGTTTTGAAAACACAGATAAATTACATAGTCAAGTGGCATAAATTTGGGGTCAGGCAACAACAGATTGTGTATGTCACAGCAAGTAGGTTTATCTCTATTTCAGTTGTGTCTGTACTGGCATGAAGGACCTCAATTACTTCAGAACATGAATGTTATCTTACATACTTCTCACAGCAGCAAATACAATAATTAGAAAAATGTGGTGTGCTTCAGGGTTATGTGAAACAGGTGGCCAGTGTGCTTTGTGATACATCAATAGCTGTGTTTAACTGTCTTAGTTGCTCAAATGAAGTGAGACTAAAATTGATGTTATTTTCTAATATTCTTCCATGTCAACCACCAAAAGAAAGAAGTATCTATATAGTTTGTTATTTTCACTCCTCTTATATTTAGGAGTCAGATGAGAAAGCACAAAAAGAGTTAATTGGTGCTTCTTGTTTTCTTAGATGAACTTTTTCTCACCTTGTTATCCTAGAGCTGTCAATGCAATATTCTGTTTTAGAAACAAAGCTGAACCTGTGCCAAAGAAAAAAATTAGTAGCAGTTGTTTGGCAGCCTTACTCCTCAGTGCTATTGCAACCTAAATTAAATAGCAGCAGGCAAATGATGTGTATATCTCATTCTGTACTAGCTAGAGTAGGAAATGATACAGATCCAACTAATCTGTGCCAATGATGAGTCACACCATACTACTTATATGAATTTTAGGCTGTGCTTCTGTTGTAGTATTAAATTGCCTTTCCCTTGGATTCCTGAACTGTGTTCTGTGGCTGGCTGAAGGCAGGTGTGGCCCAGAGCCAGAAGCTGAGCATCGTGTCACTTTGTGCTACTTTCTTTTCAATTGAATATTATGTAACAGAATTTTTGGTGTTTTGAGTGGTAGGTCTTTTTTCTTGCTTATTAATGATCAAATCAATGATCATAGCAGTGTACTAGTTCCCTCTGATGCCAGCTCAGCCCAGGTGCCACTGGGAATGCTGCTGTGTCTCATCCTCCCATTGCATACTGCTGTAAAGAGCCTGGCTCTGTCTTGAGACTTAACTAGCTCTTGCTTTAAAGAGGTCATTGGTTTTAGGTTGTTATTAACTGGCTTTAATTTTATTTTCTATACTCAAACAGCAATGGTGTTTAGAATTACAGAAATAGAAATAGAAAGCAGAAACTTTTCTTATTCGTTGAAGCTCTATTTCACACTTGACATAAAATTAATATTGGTTTTCATGCTTACAAAATATGTTACCGCTCTCCTAGAGCTTACATTGCATCTTCCTGATGATAGCCAAAAATAATGCATAATTGATATTGCAAATTGCTTGTTCAATATTCAGGGTCCAAGAGGTCTTGATGGTCCTCCAGGAGAACCAGGAACAGAAGGCATTAAGGTGAGTGCTTGCATTTCTCAGGAGCATACAAAACATTGAGATGGACCATAACAGATAAGAAAATAAACAAACAAAAAAAACAACCCAGCATGTCAGAAGCCATAAAGTTCCTTTTAATCCAGGAGGAGATTTGCAAATTTCTGCTACTTTCAGGTACATCCTTGTTATGATACAAGCCCATCTATGCCTGAATCTGCACTTCCTGCAGTTACCCAGCATTTAAACTGACAGCAACTGTGTGCAGCTTATTTAGTAAATGCACACAGAATTCACATGTTTTTTACTTATTAGGGAGAAAGAGGCAATCCAGGAAAGAAAGGAGTTCCTGGGCTTATTGTGAGTATTGGAGCCAATCTTTATAGTAAACCTCAATATGCTTACTGCTAATTTCTGAGCTGTGGTTGGAAATTATCTGAAGCCAGCCTGTCTTTCAATATTTCTTTTTGACCAGGGTAAAGCTGGGAATCCAGGAGAAAGAGGAGATCAGGGTGCACTTGTGAGTATGAAATTATCTAGTACTTGTACCAAAAAAAGTATTCCACAAAATTTCATACTTTGTTTCTCACTCAGATATGAGAGAATTTGTCTACTTTAGAGCAGCTGGAAAACTCCAACAGTACTGTTGGCATTTATTCATACAAAGAACCAGGGGCAAAAGTGACAGTAAGACCAAACATGATCTAAAATGAGTCAGCTAAGATCCTTCCCTACGTAAAAGAAGCTGAGGAAGGTTTTATTCAGTGCTCCCTCACTTGCCACAGGAGCTAGTGATGTGGCAATGTGTGTAAACCAGAAGAAAAGGCTGTACATATTTTTCTGTGTTTCTGAGCAAGCTTTTGAGTAAGCAGAAATAAGAGAGGAAGTAGCTTTTCACAGACTACGAAACAGCTTCTTTCCAATGATTTTTTTTTATTATTATTTTAATCTTCCAGGGTTTGCTTGGACCTCCTGGAACCACAGGAGACAGGGGACCAGTGGGAGAGCCAGTAAGTTGATCCTTACGACTGCTTACAAATTTTTCCACATATTATACTGAAGTCTCTGAAAACTCAAGCTCCATTTTACCCAGATGCAGTATTGCCAGCTGTCGTTAAAGAGGAATCGTGGGGTAATTGTTCCAAAAACTGCAGGGCTAAAGTCTGCCTCCCTTGCTTAACTTGTTCATAAGGAGACCTGTTGGAAGCCCTGTAGTAGCGGGTACTCCGCATAAGAGAGTGTGACAGGCTTGAACCACAATATTGTGTAGCTTTATGCTGCATTGAGGTAGACATCTACGTTATGGGTTATGTAAATGTGACAGTACAGGTCTTAGTGGGGGTTTTTTTCAGGCCATTTTAGGATAGTTATTCAGGAACTCAGGGACCACATCTATTTGGCAGGTTTGATTTTCAAATAAAAAGGATACTGTTATAATAAGCCTCAGACATTCCTCTGCTGGATGGATTCTTCTTCTGATTGTTATTATTTCAAAGCCACGCTCACTTTTATGTGGTTAATATTGTAACAGAAGATCATGCAGAATCTGCAGCAAATACATGCAAAGTGCTGCAAGGTGTAGGCAGGATAGGAATAGTATTGCATAGCCCTCTCTGGGGCTAAATCAGATTAAATAAATAC